TTTCACTGTGACTTAGTCCATAGAAATACACCGCAGGCGACTGTTGCTAATAGCCGAAACACAAATCTATCTTTTGTATGTTCTTGCAAGTACATCCAGAGGTGGACATGTTTATTTGAAATAAGATGGGATGTTTTTTTTTTTTTTTTGGCCGCATCACGTTTGGGGAAACACTGCCTTATTTTTTTGTGCGTTCGCAACCTCAGGTGGAATGGGATCCTTCCACGCGATGGTGAATTCTTCCGTCCACGTGATCATGTACTTCTACTACTTCCTCGCTGCGGCCGGACCTCGCTTCCAGAAGTTCCTTTGGTGGAAGAAGTACATGACAGCCATTCAGCTCGTACGTACTGCGTACTACTCTTCTCTTTCTCCTTTTCTTGTCACCTTTTTTTTTCTCTGCCTGTTTTTCAATTTTTTTTTTTAAAGTTCCCATTTCTGTTTTTCTTTTTACTTTGTCTGCCTTTTTCTTTGTCTTGTTTTTCCATTTTCTTTGCCTTTTTCTTTCATTTTTGGGACTTCTTTTTCTTCTGTCTTTTTTCTTGGTTTTTTTTTGGTAGAATTTTTTTTTTTGCTCAAAATGTCTTCATGTTCATCTTTTTTCCTTTTATTTTTTTTCTTTTTCCTTATCATTGTCCTTATTTTTTCCATTTACCCTTTTCTTTTTGTCTTGTTTTTTCATCATATTTCTTCTTTTCCATCTTTTGTTTTCATCTTTTCTTTTTTTTTGTTTTTGTTTTCATTTTTTTCCTTCTATATTCTTGTTTGTATTTTTTATTTTTTTTTACCCTTTCTATTGTCTTTTTTTTTTTTTGCATTTTTATCTTATCTCTTTGCCTATCGTTTTCTTTTCCATCTCCTTTGGCTTTTTTGCGTCCGTCCTTTTTCACCGTCATTTCTTTAGCTCCTTCATTTATTCGTCTGTCTTCCTTTGGTCCCGTGACAGATCCAGTTTGTCCTGGTATCCCTCCATGTGACTCAGTATTACTTCATGGACAGCTGCGACTACCAGTTCCCCATGATCATCCACATGGTGTGGGTATACGGCACCTTCTTCTTCGTGCTCTTCTCCAACTTCTGGGTGCAAGCCTACGTCAAGGGCAAGCGGCTGCCCAAGCAGGGCATCAAGACGTCTCAGAACGGCGCCACCGCCGCCTCCTCCTCTGCCCCAACCGTGTACGCCAACGGCAAGCACCACGAGAACGGCCTCAAACACGGCACGTCCAACGGCACCAGCAACGGCTCGGCCCACCACGAAAATGGCAGCGCTCCCATGGGCAAGATGAAGAAGGCCTAGGGGGGTGCCGCGGGGGCAAAGAAAGTCCCAGAAAGTATGACCTCGCGAAGCCGTCACACCGATCACGGATTCCAAAGATGATTTTGGCTGCGTTTCTTGTCCTATTTTTAGTTTTCTCTGTGAAACGTGGGAGGGAGCGAAGTAGCGCAGTCCATGATTTCCACAAAGGGGGATTCCACATTCGGTTGGTTTGGTTGTCTCTCTGAGTTTTGGGGGAAAGCACAATGTATGAAGAGAAGATATTCACCGACATGCAAATTTAGTATCACACTGGTTGCCTTTCACTTAAGAAGACGTGTCCTCGTATCACCCCTTTGTGGACAGATGACTGTACACAAGACTTGAAAATACTTTTATCTGTAAATAGTTTTACAACAAAATAACTGTATTGGTAAGGCTTTCTACTTTCTAAATTGTGTATTTAAAAATAAAATGCCAATAAACCATGCTATAAATTATCTTGTGTGTCTTTTTTTTTTTGTCGGTGACGAGATTGTCGTGTAGCCATCATGTCATCATCACAGCCGAGTGTGTCATTGTGCTGCGTTGCAACAAAGAAGAAAAGCATGTGCTTGTCTTGTGCCTCTCGCCCGGGCTATGCAAGGAATGTGACACTCGCTCGTAGGAGTTACACAAGCGACGCATTCTGCTTTGTTGAAGCAGCAGAGAAAGACAACGCCCCCTCGGTTCAGCTGGTTCTTTGACTGGAAGAAAGGGACGCTTGTGGAGTTTGCCATTTAACTAATGAGAAATGGATGCGATGCATCGGTATGAATTACCGTATTGATATTTTAATTGACACATTTTGTCGTTTAATTTACTTGTACTTGTACTTTGTCGTTTTCACTGGATTGTAATGGGACAAGATTTTTTTTTGTTCCATTTTATTTTAATATGGACTGGGATGGGATTTTTCTATGTATGGGAGTGTGGATGTGTGTGTGTGTGTATATATACACATCCATATACATGTTCTGCAACCATCTTTCCCCATATCGAGAGACGAGTAGTTTTCATTGCAAAGTTTAATTCCAAGCTGAAATAATTAAATGCAACATTCCATTTCAAGACATCATTCAGGCATTCATTCCATGTGCATCCACTACTCACTAAATCATTCGCTTTCATTTAAACTAGCAGGGGAAGAATCCAGCCCTCATGTTAAAGTTACTTAGTTTTTTTTTTGGTTTTTTTTTTTTTGGAGTTACTACTAAAGTTTGATCTTTTTCTTGATTTGACACCCACGTCGCTGCGGTGTAAGGTCAGAAAAACGCCACGAGTGAAACCTCATGAGTGGATTGTCCTGATGACTTTCAGGGTCAAAGATGAGCTTAGTTGTCAGCGTTTGCGGTACCGGTACTTTTCTATGTGATGTACTCCAGGATGTAAAAGATGAGCTCCATCACGATGGGCTCGTCGCTTCTCTTGCGCCCCCTGCTGTGGATGACGGGAATGAGCGTGCTGTCCAGGGCGTTCAAGTACTGAGGGGGTAGTGGGCGCCCATTGCTGCCTGCCACGAAGCCCACCTGAAATTGCGAACAATAAATATAACAGCAATAATAACAACAATAATCCAAAACTGTAAACACATGTGAACTTCAAATCTTAATTTTATACGCTCGCTTTATTGAACATTTGCTTGACTCCAACGTTGAATAAAATCATCTTTTAATTCTTTTTCATCATATTGAGATGTCATTCTAAAGGTATGTTGTCCTGTTCGTGGAATTGAATCAGACAAATATTAGAAACCAGCTGTCAGTACAACACAATGAACTGCAGCAACAAGAAACATTGTTCAACAAATACCTCTCTGACGGTGCCAATCAAAAGTCAACATTAATATTATTTTTGTCAAGTCAGAATGTTTTGTTACTTTTACTGGAATGCAGACGTGTTCCTAATGTAGTGTCACACCGACCTGCTGTGGGTCAAAGGTGACACGCAGCCCCAACTTGGCCATGCCGTCCTCCTTGAGGAGTTTGAGGTACGGACACAGCGCCAAGCAAAAGGCCCGGGCGATGCGCTCCGTCAGCCGGTTGTGTTCTGGTATGTTGGCTGCTATTCCTTTTGGGGGCTCGACCCTCTGCAGGTAGAACACCTGCACACAATATCCATTTAAAACCTTCCAGAAGTAAAAATAATAATATCTACATACACTGGTAGCTCTACTTACGAACGTCTCTTCATACGAAATTTTCAAGTTACGAAACGCCTCAAGAGGAAAATATTGCCTCTTGTTACGAAAGAAATCTCAAGATACAAAAGGGAAAAAGACAGTATGGGCTGCTACTTGCAGCTCAGAGTTTCCTGAACGCAACACACTTATAGCTGCTCTGCCATTGGCTATTACCTCGCATCTTCCTGCCATCCCATTAGATGGATCAGTTCTTTACAAAACGGCAGGCAAAAACCATTTCTGAGAGAGAACATGAACTGAAAGGTAAAAAAAAAAAAAACGATGAGCATGCAGTTGAAAGTTAAATGACCATAATTTTTAGTCTTTACTCTTTGTTTTTTACATTATGCACAATTCTCAATTATTGTGCAATAATCTAATTGTAACGTGTATTTGTTAGATATTTTGATCCATTTTTATGCTTTAGGAAACATTTATGTCTGAATTTTGTGGGTGCTTGGAACGAATTAGGGCCTTTACATGGAAAACGCGTCTCTACTTACAATATTTTCTAGTTAAAAAAATTCTTCCAGAACCAATTAATTTCATAAGTAGAGGTACCACTGTATTGGTTTCACAGCAAATCAAAGATACTTCTGTCCAGTGGATAATCTTCCCGTTTTCTTTGTATTCGGATTTCTGGAACATCTTTGAACTGCTGATGGACTCCATGGATTTACCATCAATGGGGCTTATAACCCTGTGAACAACAACAACAACAAAAAATATCTATTAACTGAATATTATTGTTGTTCCTTATTGTTTTGAAATACTTTGAGAATCTTTAAAAAAAATTGCTTCAAAGGAATTGGTGAGACTTCAAACTTCAGCACATGGAGAAGTGTTCAAGGACCCTAACTCCATGTTTTTATTTTCACCGAAGCACTTGGTATCAAAGAACTACTTTTTTCAAATGGAAGCCGTTCAACTCACTTCAACATTTCATTTCCTTGGTACCAAGGTGCCACACGACGGTGCTGAAGCAGCACCACGTTAACCTAAACAAATGCTCCTCAACTCACTTCAACTGAGTTCCGTGGCACTGAGATGTCACAAGATCAGGTTACTTTTGTCTGAATTAAACTCTTCAAGTTAGTTCAAAATATAGTCGTTCACAGTTATCTGTGATATCATAAGATAGATGCAGCCAAAGTGCTGCCAAGATTCGGACTTCAGAATTGTGATGCAAAAGTGCCAACCACGAACTCACCGAGTGGCGCCTATTTGCAAGCCCATTCATGATTTCTAGCGTGTACTGTAAAACCGTCAACCTAAAAATAATTAACAGGTCCTTTAGCCTGTGCATGAATTCAGATTTGGATAAAGAGTGATAAACTCCAACCAGCTGGAGGCGCCCCACCCTTTATTGAGGGCGCACTTGGCCTCCACCCACTGCACACAAACGAGCTCTTCCTGGCTGTCGGTTCGATCCACGCGGCCGCAGTTGACGGCGTAGTCCTTCATCTCCCGGAGCGACCTGCGCAGCTCTGCCATGGTCTCCGGGGTAATCTGCACCATTAATCCATCTGGGGAGGAGGCGGGGCGGGCACACGCACACGTGCGCGCGCACACGCACGCAAACACAGACACGTATACATACTGTACTCTTTTGTCAACATTGACAGACAGTGCCGAACAGGCTGTTCGAGTAAACACACACACATTTACAATATATTAACAAAGATGAAGACTGCGGGTTAATGAAAAGAATGACATGGTGAAGTCAAGTCCCCCCTTTGTCGTGGACGGTGTTACCTTCGACGATGCTGGATTTGGCAAAGTAACCCGCAGTTGCTTTCAGTGCACTGCTGAATATGAAAAAACACGAGCCAGTCACTGGGGAAATGGAGAAAAGGGATAAACGAGCATAGGATTTAAACATTTTTATACACGAATAGGACGGTTATGTGTAGCCCAGGGGAGGGAAACTTTTATACCAAGCGATGTCAATGGTTGGGTCGATAGGGTTAATGTAGGTCTGGACTGGTTCAGAATTGTCTATGTTGATGTTAAAAGAATCATTCCTTTCTTGTGTGTTCACAAACACCTCCATAGAATTTATTTTGTGATTTATTTGCTGTATTTCCTGTTTTGGTGCATTAAAAAAAAAATCTTTGTGCCATTGAATCTATCGTTAATTTACATTTTTCTGAGGCGGTCTTTGTTGTGTGTTCACAAACACCCCATAGAATTTATTTTGTGATTTATTTGCTGGATTTCCAGTTTTGGTGCATTTTAAAAAAAATTCTTAGTGCCATTGAATCTATCGTTAATTTACATTTTTCTGAGGAGTTCGTTGAACGCCTCTCGAGTCGAATTCGAAAAAGAAGGCACGTCGTCGAATCGAGACGTGCTTGTAATCGTTTGAGAGTTTAAAGAAAACAATAAAGTGTACCCAAAAAACAACAACAACAAAAAATAACAACACTGCAGCTCTTTTTGTCTCGGAGCGGCAACATTATACTGTATGTGGGTAGGTGGCATTAATAAAAGGAGATTCAAGTGTTTCGTTTTCCAGTGACCTCACTCTTCTTGCTTGGTGTTACTTCCGAATAAACTAAGGGTTAAAAACATAAAAATAGAAATAATAATACATTAGATAAATTCATATTCCTTCCAATCCATCAAGAATTTTTCTATAATTATTATTTTGAGAAAATCTGCCTTTGAGATTGAATCGAACCAGAAGTGGGCGGCACGGTGGGCGACCCCAAAAAATTCCAAAAACATTGGAGGTGTGCTTGGTTACCTTTACGTGGCTGGTTGTGGATGCTGATGGCTTGCGTCTGGTACTGGCCGTCGTCCCTTTGCACGCAGATGAGGTGAGAATCGGCCTCCTCGTTGAAGCAAGCCCCCATGGCCAGGACATGCTCGTTGCACTTGTTCATGGCCTTCATCAGCTGACGTGACAGGAAATGTGCATCGTGAATAAAAAGGTTTTTGAAATAATACATTGCAAATTGTTCAGCTCACCTCGTTGTACGCGGTAGTTTGTATCTTTATGCGGGTCTTATGAGCCTCCAGATCCACTGTGAGCCCCGCCACCATTGGGAGACTATAACGAAAATTCCTAAAGTCCTGCACAGGATGGAGGGATGGTTGCAAAGTGGGGAAATACAAAAATTAATACACATAACTTAGTCTTCAAATTCACTTGCTTAATGCTGACATATAATCTGAAAAACCGTAGATGGGCTAATTATGGTACAGAAAAGTATAGATGTGGTGGTGTTTAAACCCTTTACTTTAGCGATGTATATTTCAGCACAAATGGTGCAGCAACACATGTAGACAAACAATATAAACACTCAAAGGGATAGATTCTTTATCCTCTGTGAAAAATGACTAACATTACTGCAGTTAATGACTCAGTCACTGTGGTTGTGAAAGCATTCATTTGTGTCTGCATGAGAGGCACAGCTGCAATCGTCCTGCACAGGATGGAGGGATGGTTGCAAGGTGGGGAAATACAAAATTAATACACATAACTTGGTCTTCAAATTCACTTGCTTAATGCTGACATATAATCTGAAAAACCGTAGATGGGCTAATTATGGTACAGAAAAGTATAGATGTGGTGGTGTTTAACCCTTTACTTTAGCGATGTATATTTCAGCACAAATGGTGCAGCAACACATGTAGACAAACAATATAAACACTCACAGGGATAGATTCTTTATCCTCTGCGAAAAATGACTAACATTACTGCTGTTAATGACTCAGTCACTGTGGTTGTGAATGCGTTCATTTGTGTCTGCATGAGAGGCACAGCTGCAATCAATTAATTATGATGCACAAACTATTTACATTTATTTTGTGAAGGCAAACACTTTGTTTTTTTTCTTTCTGCCCACAATCTTGCTGCTGTAGACTGTAAATTTCCCCAGTGTGGGACAAATAAAGGATATCTTATTTTATCTATTTAATTATTTACATTCTATTTAATTATGTTATTTATGTTTTAATAAAAAATATTATTGAGTGCTATTTCCCGTTATGAACGCGCTACCAATTTTTTTTTCTTGCTGTTTTGGGGCTGCAGGGATAGATTCTTTATCCTCTGCGAAAAATGACTAACATTACTGCTGTTAATGACTCAGTCACTGTGGTTGTGAATGCGTTCATTTGTGTCTGCATGAGAGGCACAGCTGCAATCAATTAATTATGATGCACAAACTATTTACATTTATTTTGTGAAGGCAAACACTTTGTTTTTTTTCTTTCTGCCCACAATCTTGCTGCTGTAGACTGTAAATTTCCCCAGTGTGGGACAAATAAAGGATATCTTATTTTATCTATTTAATTATTTACATTCTATTTAATTATGTTATTTATGTTTTAATAAAAATATTATTGAGTGCTATTTCCGTTATGAACACGCTACCAATTTTTTTTTTCTTGCTGTTTTGGGGCTGGATGGGACAGATTAATGGCATTTGTGTATACTTCCAAGTGGATGTTGATTTGATTACTCAAAACTCAAGGCACCACTGAATTGCCGTTTACTGAGATGCACTTATAAAAGTGTCAAATAGTATTGAATAAATTAAGTGTCAAAAAAAACACTAAACCTATTGGACGTTTTCGAATTTGATACCCCGTATGTGGCAAATCTCAACAGTACACAACTCTTTCTTACCACTAAAAGCCTCATGACTGTGTGGCCAATGTCCCCAAACAAAGGCTTCCTAAAGCGCACGCTATACAAAGGGCAAGGGTAAACTGCAAAAAATAAAAGAGAGAGAGAAAGAGAGAACAAAAGAATGTGTGAAAGTGAAGCTCAGTGAAAACAGCAACAGAGCCGGCCCAAGGCATAAGTCACCAAAGCATCTGCATATGGACCGCCAACCTCTACGGGACCCCAAGTGTAATTAAGGCCCCAAAATAAAATTTTGCATCGTGCCCCAAGGAGGTCTGGCCAGCTCTGACATCGAGTTGGAGACAAAGAACTCACATCGGTACTCTGCACCCAGGCGCAGCATGAGACGCAAAGGGAACGTCTTGGCCCAGACCACCTCGGCCCGGTGGAGCAGCAGACCAAAGAGATACGGCTGGCTGGGCAGGGGCAGACCTTGAAGGGACTGACGGGTGGGTCGGACAAACAAGAAGCCCGCGTGCATATCGCTTCCCAGAAAACGGCTGCTAAACAGGGACAGCGACAGATCCTTGATCACCTTTCCTGCCAGCGTCCAAGAGTACAGAAGATTCAGAGTTGTTAGACACAGGGAAATTGTGTGGAATGCTGTATTCAAGGACTTACTAGTACGGGATAGAAAATATCAGATGAAGAATTGTCAATTGCCTCCTTTACTTGCCATATGGGCCTATACAGACAGCTGGATTGATACGGTCATGAGAAAGAGCAGGGGTACCTAATGAAATGACCTCACCCGTGAGGCTGTCCCTGTACAGCTGGACGAAATGACTGAAGATGTCCCTGGGGAAGCTCTTCTCCTCGGGCAGACATTGCAGGAGCACCACCACCTCCACTTGGCCCACGGCGTGCATCCCCTTGGTGGTCAGGCACCAACACTTTCTGTTAACGTCTGTCCCAAAATCATGTCGTATGATAAGTGTCAAATGGGTGCAGCGAGGGATCACAAATAGAAAAAAACAAAACAACAACTTACAATTGACCATCGATACCATGGCGAGCAAGTTGGCATTGAGGACAAACACCAGAGGGTTGGAGCGGCCGCTCTCCAGCTCTTGGATGAGCAGCATCTCAGAGGGACGCTCCTCCACAGTATAATCTGAGCAAGTGAAGGGCACCCAAAGCTGTAATTATTCTGACATTGGCTTTATCTGCAGGACCTCCAAAAAAATATTCACGCAGCTTGAGAATAAATCACTGTGAAATTGGACTGTCTTGAGCCGCAAGGTCGGGCAAGTTTTGAGACAAAATTGTAGAGCCAGGGGGAGTCTTACTCATTTTTGCCGCGGGCTACGGTGTGGTTACAGTTTCTCTTGGAGGGTGAAACCATGTAAATGCTTAATCATCTTCACATATTATTACATTATGCAGTACACATCAAATTGAGGGGTAAATAATTTTGAAATCAGAAGTTAAGGATAATAGCTTAACTATTGTAACTGTAAGAACAGAAGAAAATGCGTGTAATATCTCAACATTATCTATTACAGATGACAATTTGAAATTTTGGGGCACAGTTAGCAAGTATCATGGGAGTTGACCAGCTTAATTTGCTTTTGCGGGCCGCATAACATGATGTCACGGACCAGATCTGGCCCCCGGGCATTGAGTTTGACACCTGTGCTGTAAAGAAACCCCCCCATCTATTTGCGGAGGATAGCAACCAAGCTCTAGGTTGAATAATCAAAAACTGCCAGTGATTAATGACCCTCTCCTAAAATGTTTCACCTATTCAAAAAATGTTTTCGCCAACACTCGCAAAAAATCGCTGCTCAGTGGGAGAGGAGCTTAATATTTACGTTTTTTTTAGACACCACATGATAGTGAGGAAAAAAAGTTTGAGAACCATTGACCGAAACTGTAAATATATCCCAAACTGTGGTCCCAGAGCAGTTTTATAGTGTTTCAAGATCATTTCAAAATAATTTACACATGAATTGATTTGTGGGGGGCAGGGGGCATCAGGAATTTGCTTGTGAAAACTCTCCATAACGTCCGCTAACGACCCAGGCTAAATTTAGCTCCTCCCTAGCATTCGCAGCTCTTCGCATCTCACTTGAGTTGTACCACTTTGACATACTTCCCTTTGAACCAATCCTTTGGCGCCATCTTGTGGCGTTTTTGTCCACAAAAACACAAACATTGGTGAGTTTTTCAAAGACCGGATGAGGCTCGGTACCAATAGTGTTTCAAGATCATCTCTACATAATTTACACATGAATTGATTTGTGGGGGCGAGGGGGCATCAGGAATGTGCTGGTGAAAACTCTCCATAACGTCCGCTCATGACCCAGGCTAAATTTAGCTCCTCCCTAGCATTCGCAGCTCTTCCCATCTCACTTGAGTTGTACCACTTTGACATTCTTCCCTTTGAATCAGTCCTTTGGCGCCATCTTGTGGCATTTTTGACCACAAAAACACAAACATGGGTGAGTTTTTCAAAGACCGGATGAGGCTCGGTACCACAGACAAAAAAAAAAAAAAATGCTAATAGGTGAATAAGTGAGATACGAATCGAGAATATACGGGTGTTCTCTGTACCCCCTTTGATTCCTGTGGAGGTGAGGATAGGCGGTAGGCCTTCCAGCGGGATCAGGTTAGACGAGGTGTTCACAAGTGTGGACATTCCCCATCGTCGAGGAGCACACGCCTCCTGATGGAAGGAGAGGAACGCCGTTTCAATTGATTCGGGTTGATCTTTACACAAAATGAAAGAAACATTTAGCAGTAACTGTGGTATTTTGGTTTGTTTGAGCCTACATTAGCGCCCCCTTGTGGCCTGGAGGCTCTCCTGAGCTGCGGCGACCCCGCCGGACCTTTGGCCATCCCGTTTCGCGCCGCTCGGCTCACAGATGGTGAGAACGCGTGCCCTCCGACGGGCGTGGTGGGGGCGGACTCGGATTGCTTGTCGACGTGGAGCTCGTCTGCGAACCAGACCCTCCTTTTCCCTCTCGGTGACGTGCCTGGGAGGAAGATGCCAGTTGTTGTTGTTGTTGTTGCCGTTTTTAAAAAGACCAACAACAACAAACAAAAAAGAAGACAGTCGGCTGAGAAAATAAAAACATAAGTGGCTCACTTTTAATGAGGGTTGCATGACAGGAAACACAAACTCGCCCCTCCTTGCCGTCCAGATGTGTAAGTCTGAACTTCAGGCCGGAGCAAAGTGCACAAAACACCTGACGACACACACATGCGCATGCACACATATATTGAATGACTTCAAAAGTGCTCGAAACGCCATCCGGGGTGCAGTGTGAGCCTCACCTTGCCACAGGCGCGACAGTGGTGCCTCCGTTTGGTAAACGTGAACTTGACGCCACACTTCATGCACAGGAGAGCCTCGGCGTCCGGGATCCAGACCGGAGCGACCTCCCCCAAGGCGTTTGCTCGATCTTTGGTCAGGATGCCGACCGGTCCGGACTCGTTGTCGGGATAGACCGGAGAGGATGCGAAGGCTTTTTCTTCTTCTCCTCCATTAGAGACAACATCTTTAAAATGATTCTGGAGGTCTTCAGATTCCTCCATTTCCTTCTCCTCGATTACAAAGTCCTCCTTGGAGGTCTTGAGCTTCTTGTCCTCCTGGGCCAGACTCAGAACCAGAGGGCCCGAAGGCTTCTTGCCCTGGCCTTCGACCCAGGGAGTCACCATGCAGCCACCTTCCTCCACGTGGAGGATGCTGGAAGGAGGTTTTTCTTCGCACGGCGTGACCGTTTCATCGGCGGAGGACTTGGAAGAAGAGATTTTTGATCTGACTTGCCCCGATTTGGACATATCTCCTGCATCTTTGAGCACCAGGGGATGATAAGATCTGCCTAGCCAGGGCAGCTTAGTTTCACCGAGGAATGGGTTGTCGCCTTCATCTGTTTTAAGGAGAGCGTATCGTTAGCCTAATCGCATTGTCTTTGTCATTTTTTAGCGTGTTTGAAAAAAACGAGGGAATTTCACTGAACAAGAAGAGCCCAACTGCCTCAAGTCAACATTTGCGGATAACCAGAACCTGGATGAGTGAAAATCGCAGAAGACATACAGTTCGACGGCTTGTATCTGTGAGCTTGTTCTTTCTGTCACGATCATCGGTGAGGGTCGGAATGCAGATTGACCATGAAATGGAGAGCTTTGCCTTTCAGCTCAGTTCTTTTCACCGCTACAGACAGATGCAGCATCTGCATCACTGCAGATGCCGCGCCAATCCGCCTGTCGATCTCCTGCTACATCTTCCAGTGAACAAGATTGAGGATGAGCATTCACTCGAGAGTAGTCCTCAATGCAGAGTATCGCGATAGCGCTAGTACTTTTGATATGTCGCATTTTATTTCAAATGACGACAAAAAATCTCAACAGACCTTTCTTCCTGACGCAAATTATGATTCGCTGATGTGTCAAACTACCGCAGTGTAGTGGCGACTAATGTCAAGGTGGATTTATTCAGTGCCAGATATTTAAGTATCGATGGCTGGTATCGGGCTGGTATCAGCTCGAAGAATTAATCATCAGTAATCTAGGGTAGGGCGGCACCACCGTACATCTGCTTCCTAGTGCAGGGGTCCGGGGTTCGAGTCCAGTCTCCAGCCTACCCGTGTGGAGTTTACATGTTCTCTCTGTACCTGTGCGGGTTTTCTCCGGGTATTCCGGTTTCCTCCCACGTTCCAAAAACATGCATGGCAGGTCAATTAAATATTCTAAATTGTCCTGAGGGGTGACTGTGAGCGTGGATGGTTGGTTGTCTCTGTGTGCCCTGCGATTGGCTGGCAACCGGTTCAGGGTGTGGCCCGCCTACTGCCCGAAGACACCTGGGATAGGCTCCAGCACACGCGTGACCCTCGTGCGGATAAGCAGCTCAGATCATGGATGGGTAAAAAAAAAAAAAAAAAAAAAATCACTTTTATTTTCCTATTTAAATACATCTTGGGGTCTATAGTTTTTTCACTTTTACTAAAGTACTTGACATTTTTTTTGTATTGACACAAATGTCTGTGCTTGAGTACTTTTGCCACTTTAAACACACACACACACACACACACACACACACACACACACAGAACAGTTGCATAACTGTTCATAAAGGGGCGAAGGGTACACGCTCACAAAGTGGCCATTAAAGCATATGTCTTGAATCATCCGGAGGTCGTCCTTGGGAGGTTTGAGAAATGATGCACGAGCACCCTCAAAAGTCACCTCCGAAGGGTAGAAAGACGTCAGTCAGCCTAGCCAGCGAGACCGCAGCAAAAATGAACGACAATGCACACGTGCAAATTTGATTCGGGATTAAGATTACAGATGAGGGTGAAATTAGGGTGAGGTTTAGCATCAAAATGTAAAATTATGGCTAAAATTACGAATAAGACATTCTGATGATTATAACAATTGATGCCATACATAGGCCTGAGATTTGTGTTAAGATTACAATGAACACATTTTCAATTTTAAATCCCATCAATATTAGGTTTAATCTCAAAATTAAGAATAAATGACGGTTTACATGAAGATTGAATTTACAATGAGATAAGAACTGAGATTGTGATTAAAATGAACAAACTGCGGTGCCCTGCGATTGTCTGGCAACCAGTTCAGGGTGTCCCCCGCCTACTGCCCGAAGACACCTGGGATAGGCTCCAGTAAGCCGGCGACCCTCGTGAGGATAATTTAGTTGGCTGGATGGACGGTTACGATTACAATCGATTACAATTGGTACGCCTGAGATCGGTATTAAGTGTTATGAGTAATTGCAATAGTTTCAGCTCCTCCGGGATTATAAATGCGTTTTCGGAATAGTTCTCCCGTCTAAAAGATCGTCAAAAAAATAACACACACACACACACACACACACACACACACACACACACACACACACACGGTCGTAAACCGAGGCTTTCTCATTATTTTAGTAACTCATCATTACGTCAAATTGCATGCGGGATAACAGACTACACGTCACTAACGCACATGGCAAAGGGGAGGGGAAATGCTTCCTTCTGACTATATGACTATTGCACGTGTTTTTTTTGCAGCACTAATTAAATCCCAACAAGATGTATGAACGCCACGTTTCCAGCTAGGCTATTCGGAAAGTGTCACTCTTGCTGCAGTTGTGTGACGCATCGAGTTCAATCCGACTAGAAACGCGCCGAGCTCGCCAATGCGACACTCTTCCAGCAGAGTTAGCGAAAACCGATGGGAGACTTCATTTATTCCTATTTTTAATTTTTATGTATTCGTTGATTTTTTGGTTTGGATCAACAATATGGAAACGGGGGGATCGGGTCGTTTAGTTAAATGCTGCATCAGCGCTTTTCACGTACAAACGTCATCATCGTCCTCGTCATCGTGACGCACATTCAAAGGCAGCATGCATGGAGAGGAACCAGAAGAAGAAAAAAATATGTATAAATTGTCTCCTTCTCACCTTCTGCGATGCCCCCCAGGAGCCTCTCGTTGTCGTCGTCCCGCGCGGAGAACAACTTCAACATGGTCTTGCATTTACATCACAGACAGTAGCAGCAGCAGCAGCAGAAGAAATGATGGTGATGGGCTGGGGAAAGAGGTTGGGGGGTGTGGGGGGGGGGGATCTTGCCTCTCTACTCAAGAGACCCCCCCCCCTCCCTCCTCCCTTGTGTTTCTCCGCAGCTCATCAAAAGGAGGAAACTCGAGCTGAATGGGCCATGATTGCGTCAAGATGTCGTGACGTCACAGCTTCTTGACTCACGTTAACCAGATATGCAGCTATTGCTTGGCGTTTGCGTAATACTAAAGTAGGGTCCTCAAAAAGGGGTCCCCAGGGGGAATAAAATGTTTGGAAAGGGGCTACTTTTTTTTTTCTGCGAGAACAGGGTTTATACAACCCAGAAGCAATTTGCAACCGTTCAAATAGGAGTCACTGCTTCAGCGTTCTGCTAGACCACATACAAAAAAAAAAAAAAAAAAGTCAGGACAAGCCTACTGGAACATCAGAATTTTATTTGGGCTTAATCAGAGGCACTTTAATTGGTGGCAGGTAAAGTTTGCCAATTAACTCATTTAATATGAGTTGCTGTGTGTTTGTTTGATTCTGAAGTAGGTGTGCACACTTCTGCAAAAATTATTTCAGTACATGATTGTTTACTTCCCTTCTCAAAAACCTTGAAGCAATGATTAGGACAGCAGGCTCTAAAAATGTTAATCCTCTTTTATTGTGTTTCATAAACAAACAAGTTAAGACATTTAGAACAACTGACAGCATGGCAAAAACAGAAGCTCATATTTTGTTTTAAAAGCCACTTAGCCGGCTTGGACATCTGATAAAAGAAAAGTCTCTGTTGCATAAATGTGTGTGTGTGTGTGTCTGCGTGTGTGCGTGCGTGTGTGTGCGTATGTGTCCATTCTGATATGTCTGAAGTGAAAACATTGCCGAGTGTTTATGGGTTTTGGCTCAGTCGTCAGATGGCTTCATTCTTGGAGGCTTCGTCAAAGTTCTCCACCAATTCTGCCCGGCAACAACAGAAAATCGTTTTCATACACAATGACAGTGAACAGGATAGTGCTAAACCAACTTATGTGGGGTACAAAAATCCTGATATCCTCTGTGGAATTTGAGCATTATCTTTTTAACGTCAGCAAAAGCCTGTTTATTGGCGATTACTCTGTGGAAGGGGACGTGCTCGGGGCGCGCGGGGGAATCTTCCCCAATTCGCTCAGAGCCAAAAATCGTAAATGTTGAACCAGTTCAATAGTTACGATAGCAAATCTTTAGGTGTGTGGTGACGAAGATGGAGTAGGGCCGAACTATTCTACTCTGTGATTGTCACGTAGAATATAACGATAGCCAATCAGGAAGCTCGCAAAAACAGTTGCTGGACACGAGCGAGTGAAGGAGCAACTGGTTGTGTCGGGCGTTTATGCAACTACACGCACCACAAAAGCAGTGGGTCATTTTTTTTCCCCTCGTCATGTGTGGGATGACTCACAATTTAAAACTGGGTGATTTGTTCAAATTGACATGTGCATACCGGGTTTCGATCCTTTAAATGACGGATAAAACTACAAAAAAAGAAAATAGAATACCTGGAACATCATCATCATCCTCTTCCTCAATGTCTTCAACTTTTGGAGATTTGCTGTCAAGTGCTGAAATGAAGAATAAAAAAAAAACATTCGCACTTCAGTGAAAGAATCCAGAGGATTCACATTATGAATTACAATTCCAAAATGATAAATTACAAAGGGTTTTGTTGTTGTAACAAGCCTCGTGATAAAGGAGTAGAATGTACAGATAAGTGTTTTTACACGTAGGAAAGAAAAGTAAAGAAATAAATATCATCCGGGTAGATGGACCCCCACCTTGGCGTGGAAACTGCTCTGCCAGCTTTCGCAGGCTGCTCAGACTATCGGCCCCCAGCTGGCTGAGGATGCCCGGCAGCATCTCGGTCAGCTGCTTGGTCTCGGCGTGGCCCGTGACGGCGAACGTGTTGGCCGACAGCGAGGCCTGCACTTTGGGGTTGTTGAAGTGGATCACCGTACCGTCGTCCTTGATCATGTTGACCTGAGAGTTGGACGCCACAATGATCGTTAACTACTAGTTTGTTTGCCGATATCATTTGAGGAATACAGAAATCCTCTGACGAAACGCTGCACATCCACATCGTGCACTCGGACCAATTCACCTCCTCAATCCCAGCGATGTTGTTGACAGCCAATTTCTTTAGGGAACTCTGAAGCTTTTTGTCATCTGCTGTGGCAGTTCTGTGTACCACCTTCTTCTTCCTGCGTGCCGAACCCTGAAACCACACAAAAATGTTTTTGACGGTCTGAGGTAGAAAAATCAGCGAGCAGGCAGCAGGCTACCACACCACATTTGTAAATCCATCGCTACCCTGATTTAATGACATATATTTCAAAACAATTTTGTCGAAATCATATTAATAGGCCAGTATTTAGATATTGTTTTGTGACAAGAAAGTGTATTGCAAATTGGAACACTTTTATTTTGTGAGGCAGGCAACCAGTTCAGCGTGTAGCCCGCTTACTGCCCGAAGACGGCTGGGATAGGCTCCAGCACAACCGCGACCCTTGTGTGGATATGCGGATCAGAAAATGGATGGATGGATGGTTCGAAAAATATTCATTCACAGTGATGTATCTTTTCCCTCTACAACACGAGTATGGAGTGACAAGCACGACATAAACCTTTCCACTAGATGGCAGAAGGTGCAATTTACTTGTGCATCCACTTTGTTGCCATTCATACAACACATAGCTTTGTTTCACCTAAACGGGCCCGGATTTCACACTGAGTTGTGGCTTAACTGAGACAGGATCACAATTCTTATAGGCTTTTGATGAGCCTTATGTATATTTTTTTTTCAGAATGTAAACTATGTGTCTTGTCTCAATAAAGGTTAGGAAACACTGGACTGACTCACTTCCGGGTTCGCACTTACCTTTCCTCCTATCCGCACTTGGGCCTGAAGTTTGGCCAATTTTTCCTGATTCATCTTGTTACCTGCGGTAAGACAACACATAACTGAAACCATAACGACAAATGTAAACATTATGCAAATGAATGTCCAATTGTTAGAATGAGGATTAAGGAAGACACGCGACATGAAGCGAGCTAATAGCTCCGCCTCAGTGTACAACGACAACAACAAAACTAAACATACACGAAAACGTCTCCTACGCTTCACGGCACTCAGTCCAACATTGTAAACGTTTCATTCTCAAACCTGCTCGAGTTTCCACGGAGGCATGCGGTGGTTAAAAAAAAAGATGTAGAGTAATTATAAGGAAGACGTTTTTATTAGTCACAAATGGATGTGGATTTATCCTCTTCCTCGTTGCGACGAATTCGAGGCGTTTGTAAACGGTACTTCCATCGTCTGGCTGATTGAAGTATTACATCAACAAACGAATATCGTGGAAAAAAAAAAGAATTTCATTTTTTTCACTTTATTTGAGCGACGTGCTCTATCAATAAAGTTCCAGGATAATAATAATAATAATAATAATAATAATATTACATTTTATTTGTAAGCGTCTTTCACAACACTCAAGGACACTTTACAGGCAAGAGCAAACAATAAAACCACAGATAAAATTATAAATAAAAATAGATAAATTTAAGTGGAATAAGCAAGTCTGAATAGGTGGGTTTTGAGCTGGGTTTTGAATGTGGGAAGAGAATCAATGTTACGAATATTGGGTGGAAGTGAGTTCCAGAGTTTGGGGGCAGAGCGGCTGAAGGCTCTGCACCCCATTGTACTGAGATGGGCAGATGGTACAGAGAGGTGGAGGGAGGATGAAGACCTGAGTGAGCGAGAAGGAATGGAGATCTGAAGAAGATCTGATAGATAGGGGGGGGGCAAGGTCATGGATGGCTTTGAATGTCAATGTAAAGCACTGTTTGGCCTCACAAATGATCTCACAGTAATTGGTGTTCACATATTTTTTTAGTCCATCCTTTCGGAATATACCAGATTGTTATGCGGGTAGACCTGACCATCTTTCAATGTAACCCCCACGACATACGCATTTTAATATTTAATTATTGACCCCGATGTATATGAACGCTTTTCACATTGTGCAAATGGATTGATACTGACAACAATAGCTGCCTGAAAATACACAAAGACAAAATATGACATTTAACAATACCTGTGATGTGCTTCCAAACTACTGATCCACAAACAGGCCCTTGTCTGAAATTTTTGTTCAAAAAGAATAACACACAACACCCAACTGTAACATACATGATTTGAGACAGGTTACGCCATCTATATCACATACTAATTGTTTTCACTATGACAATAATATTCTGTCAATCTTAAATATATCTTCCCACTTTCTTTCAGCCTTTCTTCCACACAGACAGCACCGCGTGAAGCACTTCGGTCTTGGAGTCATCAGACAAACCGATGTGAGTGTTTTGTACAAGTAAGCCGTCAAAGAGGCACGCGGGTGGGCCAAACTTGGAGTCTCTGGAGCTGCGCAGGAAGCTGTGCTGCCAGCGCATCGGTTTCCGGGACTTGGGCCTGCAGCAGCGTTGTAACATGAGATAGAATTTCTTCATCACGGCCTTCCTCAGCAGGATGTAGACCCAGGGGTCCAGGATCTGGTTCCAGGTGGCTATGCGCACCAGAAACAGCAGTGTATCAGATGCTGGGTTATAATCGCCTTTGGAGGCCAGGATGACGCAGGTCTGTACAAAGTCATACATAAAAGAAATAATAAATCAGTCAATACAATAGGAAAAATGAAATAATAGTGGATAAATAGCAGGAGGGTATTTTTTTATTCCCTCTCAAATGAAACGGCAATGAATCCATCCTAATGCAAAATTATTAACATTCTGATGATTTTATAGCTGTGTATGATTAGAAAGTAAATATTCTAGCATTATTTTCGTTATTAAAAAACACATTCCAAGATTTTTTTGTTGATATTTGAGTGGAGAAATATCAAATTTATACTTACAAAATATTCTGCATTCATTTCCATAAAATTTCATTGATATTTTCTGATATTTACGCACACAATAGTTTTCATGAAATGACTTTGCAATGGTGTTGCGGTGTGTTCATTTATTTTATTTATGATAGTCGAACATGGAATGGCTCATATTGATTCATGAACATTTTTAAAATACTGAACAATCAAAGGTTAACAGGAGGGTTAACATTCCCCCAACATACACACATCGTAGAATCATTTCCAGGTGTCTTAATCATATGTGTGACATGCTTTTACCCAAAAATCAAGAATTATAGCACACTATTCTAGAGCCCTGATGAAGTCAGCTTTTTTTGGGAGGGGCAGGGGGTGGAATTCTGTCTCATGCAATGAGGCCACTGCCTGTCCCCGACTCTGAAGCCTATAAAGGTACATAATTGAACCTTTTTAGCGATTTTTTTTGGGGGGGGGGCGTTCCTATTTGATAGTGTGCCGTGATTTTTTATTTTCCCTAAGGCAAAATATAATCGCAATGGGAAACACTTGCCTAGGGTCATTCTGCTTACCAGTAAAGGCCCCCAGCAAACACAGGAAACCAGCATGATGGCCATCAGCTGGCAGATCATTTCAACGTGGTACGACGTTCCTCTGCTGTGACGCTTGCGCTGCATCGTGGACAGCAGCAGGGAGCAGCTGGTCACCGTGTTGCAAACGATGGAGAAGAGCAGAGCCAGCAAGCCCAGCAGAGCGAAGAGCATAGGCAGGAACACATCCAGCCAGTCGTCGGGCTCGTCCAAATTGTAAAAACACCAACTCCTGGAGTTCTGCACCCTGTAGGACTTGCTCAGCATCACCGGCAGCGCAGCTACCAGGGCAGCCAGGATCCAGATGACAGACAGCAGCTTGTTCATGTGACGGAAGGCTAACCCGGTCGAGTGGTAAAAGGGCTTGGTGATCCCGATGCAGCGCTCTATCGCCATGGCGCTGCCCAGGAACAGCGGGCTCAGGCCGAAGAAGACCAAAGTTGCGCCAAAGAGGTTGCACACTCTGCCGTGGGGGTCGAACGTCTCCCAATGCTTGTGCAAGCTGTAGACGTAAATGACCACGGAGCCATTGACCAGGTGGCCCAGCAGGTCCGTGACCACTAGGCTGGTGGCAAAAACTGAAAAGGGGGCCTTGGATTTCAGTGGCATGCGTTTGGAGGATTTGAGCAGAATGAAGAAGGCCAGGCTGTTGGAGAGGATGCCGACAGTCATGGAGATGACCGAGGTGGCCACGGACAGATTTTTCTCGACGCAGGTGATGTTGGTGGGCGTGGCCTCTTTCCAGCTAGTCAGATCAGTGCTCTCACTGGCCGACATTGTGGAGCGTGAAATCTGGAAGAGAGATTTTTTTTTCTCACATTTTACCAGGTCTATTTGGCATAAATGTAGGAACCATCAATACTATGCGAAAATGTAAAATAACAGCATGCAACTGTGCCACATACGGCAAATGGAGCAGCAAACCACCACAGCTGATTTACAAACACCGAAATGTAATTTAGGATTTAATTTAATCGCTTTCCCAAATGGTTACAATTGCCATTTAGTGATTACAGCCATTTGCGTACCTCCCATTTTCAGGGGCTCCAAAAGTACTTGGACCTTTCGGACTAAAAAAGGTTAATAGGCCAAGTGCAAAATCTCGTTCATCCCAGACAAATGCCACAGGTAAGCAAATGGTCATTTGGAAGCTCTGAAGGAGATCTCAAAGCGAGTGGAGGGCGACAGGAATGAATGAATCGGTGAAGTCGATACCACGAGAAAATCACAGGAGAGAACTTAAGCGATGATGGCAAGAAGAAAGCAACCCTTTAAAACAGGAGTCAAGGATATTCAAGAAAAAGCAAGAGTGAAAAACATGGAGAATGAGTCCAAATCATAACACACGAGTCAAAACTGAAGTAAATCTTAGACCTACACCGTAAGATGAGAAAGACTCTTGACATTGAAAGGCATATTTTGGGCTTTTTGGATGTTGGAAAAATCCAAATACATTTTCAAAGAGGACCAAAAAAAAAAGAAAAAAAAGATAAAAAATAATGTGATAGGTTTGTTACCTGAGCCTTGTTGCCTCACGTCATGAAACTTCTCCTGCTTTTGCTACGGTCTTCAGTAAGTCAACTTCAACATCCCGTCAATCACGAGGCAGAGAAGTGTTGTCTTCTGTCTTCTGACTCCAGCTGTTGCCACTGATGCTGCTGCTGCGGCTGCTGCTGTCGATCAGACATGCGCGTCCTCCCACGGCGACGGCTCCGCTAGTCAATATAATGGAGCATGTCACACAAAAGCGCACAAACGTTTGTTAGTGTGTGTGTGAGCGCTCACCCAAAATGCTCTTTTAACTGGGGGCTTTTTAAAGGTTCGCAAACCACTGATAAAACCCGCTGACTCACAAACCGGTCAGGCAACTCAGGGCATACTACTGTACTTGATTCAGTTTCAATTTAGACATGTCGCACGTGTAGCGCAGAATGACTTCACAGAGATACAAGGATGTGATACTTTGGTTATGTAATGTCGCGTTTCTTCGCTCGAATTAGAAAATACTTGCAATGTGTTACATAACACAGCACGACAACAGTAAAACAATTGTTTAAAAAAAAAACAAAAAAAACAACAGCTACCTTTATTGAGGCAGGACATGTGATCACATGAGATTGTTCAGATTTAGAGTTAAATGCAAAGTAACCATGATAAAAAACATGAATTATGATTTTGATTACCTTCATTTAGTTTTGTTAATCTAGCTTCAGATGGGTTTCTTACTGAAGCATAGAAAGCACCCTGTGAGGTGGGCATTGATTTTGCGTGTTAGAGCACCTTATGAAGTTGACCACAGGTAAAGCAGTTAGTTTCCAAGTAAGATCTGGAATCCATCAAGGGTCCGGCCTCAGCCCACTACTTTTCATCATTGTTTTTGGTATTCCAACCGTAGCTGTAAGAAAGAGAGCCGACTTGATGTGTTTTCTATGCGGACCACATTCATTGTTGATTCCAATGCTCGGTAGATTATGCTAAAAGTTAAACAGGTTTCTTCAGAATGGTGCCAAATATTGTGCTTTCTCAAAATTGCCCACTAACATCAATGAAGTGAACATCAGATCATTTTTAAAAATATGTACAGTCGTACCTCAAACTAAAATTTCTTGTGTTATTTCCAGTCCGGCAAACACCCATTCCACATAGAAAGGGAATCACTTAAACAAAATGTGGCCAGGGTAAACTCTAGATTATTTTGGACTCAATTTGAGCTCATGACGTGACCTGATCAATACTGTGGTCTGGTTACTTTTTTTTTCCCCCCCTTAGCTTGACACTCACTAACATACGGCTTGGGTGAGCAGACCCAGATTGAATTCGCAGAAATAAATTACACCCACCTGTGTCTACAATTAAAGTGAATCATTACGTCACGAGCGCCCTACGTTTACACATTTGATCTTCCTCTCCAAAAATTCACGCCCATTCCCGTAAGGGATCGCTGGAACCGTAAAGTTGAGAACGCCGGGAATAAGGAATGCAAGAGGATGCAACGCTGCAGCCAGAAGTACACCATGGAGTGTCATAGTGCACCGAGATCTCAGGCATGACAGAAGGCAGAGTTGACAACAGCACATTGGAAGCATTGCTTTGTGTCACCAACGTGGGGTAGATTTGCACACTTCCACCCCCTCAAGTCAAAAATGCGGAAACTTTTTTGGTGGCACTGTACCTAAAAAAAATTTCCAGATAATTTTTATTTATTTAGTTTTTAATTCCCCCACGTTCGAGAGCCAGTTTGGCGACTTATCCGTCGTCTTCCTCATCCACACTTCGATGGAATGACGTTTATGAAGGTGACAAAGTTATTATTAAAAGCAGAAATACTTGTTCTTGTGTTACAGGATGTCAAGTGTTAAAAAAGACAAGGATGTGAAGTGCAAACACACCGTGGGCACACATGTGCTGGATTTTCAATCAGGCCACCCTTTGACGTGTCAGAATATGTCAACACACACGAGTCAAATAGACAAAGCACACTTCCTGTAATGTTATTTTCTTTTCGATGGACTGGCACTCGGAACGACTTTCATCCCTTATCATACTCCCAACACTCTTCGAAAAATCTTCCATTTCTATTAATGTTCCTGTTTTTGGTCCTGAGCACAATTCGGTAAATTATCATGCCAAGTCCAAATAGATAAACCATGTGTAACTTTTGTGAGTAAATTATCAAGTCCAAATAGATAAACCATGTGTAACTTTTGTGGTCAAAGGCCACATTTAATTGTTAAATCGAACAGATGAGCCAGGTCATTTATAGGTGAGGTTAATAAAAATGTCTATGCAGAATATGCAATAAGTAATAATTCTTCAACAAAGTGATAGTAATTTTTAGTCTTAATCGACCATAAGCATTATGTCAATTGCCTTACTTGACTCACATTTGCGGTTGATAATTTGCTTTATATTCACAATATAACATACATTAACTGAGTATTTAATGAGCCAAACGAATTAAAAAAAAAAAGAATTGGGTGATTGCTCATACACAGATGCCCCTGTTTTTCACCCAGCTGTTGCCCGAAAAAATATTCACAGTGGATTGTATTTTACACAAGAGAAAAGCAGGGTGGGATGTTCTACTAAAATGAGACTGATGATATATGGTGATTAATGGGATTTTTAATTCGTTTTTTTTTGGGGGGGGGGGTAAGAATTGATTGCAGTCATTCATGCCCAGATATGTAATATCATTTATTTTTATGTTTGAAATCTAGAATGTATTCTCAGATAAGTGCCTCCTTCCAGGTACAACTGTAGATTTATAAAGAAATTTGATAGCAGGGCAACTATAGTACAGTAACCCCCCCCCCCTCTCCCCACATGTTTGCTATTTACTATTCACAAATACACTCTGTGGAATTTATCCCCTGCAATTCGCTGAAAAACGAATTTATATGCATTTGTTTCTTTTCTTTATTTTTTCTTTTTTTCGTGGTACTTTTTCTGAAATGTCCAAAAATAACCACAAGATGCTGCCACAACACTATCTAAATCGGAAAGTAGTAATTGCTGTGAAGGAAGTATATTGAAATGATGCCGATCAAGTGAGAGACAAGCATTGCATGTGGGGAGGAGCTAAGTGATGTGGAATCATAATTTGTGGTATATTTACAGTTAAAATATTAACTCTTTTAGGGACAGCGGTTACTACAGTGGACAGCTTATCATGTTATCAAGTTACAGGGTGCATGAAAGGGTTAATATAAGCATTCATTAACATTTTTTAGGGGGAGGTGTCAATTATTTACAGGAGAATAAGTAAACTCCACACAGGAAGACTGCAGCCACTCCACACAGGAAGACTGCAGCCAAGATTTCAAACTTCAAATCTCAGAAATTTGAGGTGGATGTACTGACTACCTTGCTGCTGAAAGCATTTTATCCTAATCGTAAATATAAATAGCACCTCAAATTGTTTGCAGTCTCCCCACAATTTGCTAAAGTGGCAATTTTCAGCCTACATGGTATTGCTGTTCTATTCCGTTTGGAAGCACTTTATTTTTCCATCAAATGGCAATTTTGAGGTGAAAATGGTTTCAGAAATGACACACAAATAAAAGAACAGATCTGACAACTAAAATTGTGGTTCACAGAATTATTATTTTTTTAACCCTCAAGATCACTTTACGACTATCAGGCCATACTAACAGTTTCAACAAATGCACAAGCGTTTTTTTTTTTTTCAAATTTACTCTTTAATTACTCCATCAGTGTATGTCGCTGACATATAGGTAGACAAAACAAAGGTACGTAATTTGTTAAACTGTCATTTTTTTACTCTCTCACGGTGCCACAGCAATCACTGTTTTAACTCTCCTTTTTTTTTTTGTCCTATTTTTTTCTTTCTTGAGATGCCTAACAACCCCAAATCACTTGCCAAATCCTCTCCCGGGTTTGACATCACACCTTCCAAATGTTCTGTCCCAGCCGGAAACGTGAGCCAGACGGTCCACATGCACAAGACTAAAAATCACATCCTTTTGTTGGATTGCCTTAATAGGCAAGACCAGGCCCGGGAAGGTTGGGTTGTGTTCGACCGGAGTAATAGAAAATAAGCCATAATGTTGGATTCACTGTACTGTCCTGCACCTAATCACAAAAAGCACTCCAACAGCAAAAGTCACAGGCATCAAACGTACTCTTCCCCTGTTCGCACTCGTCGTCGTCATTTTCTCCCCATCGTACAAGTCCCAAGTGGCCCTAAATGGTCCCCAGACCCAGGCAGCCATTTTATAAATTATTAATGGTGCTACAAGGAGGGGAAAAATGTTCATCGCCAAGTGTACTTTGCGGTGGTTTTTATGTATTTGTTTATTAGGGATCCGTTAATCACAAAGAGACCAATTCACTTTTTCGTGTGTCGAATATGTCCTCAGCTACTGTATTTGCTAAGTAATCGGCCTATTAGCATTTTTTGCGTTTGCTCTTTCTGAAATACCTTAAGACGCCACAAGAGGGAGCAAAGCCCCGATTCATAGGAAACTATTGTATACTATTACTGACTGTCGTTGTTGTGATACTTATTGCCAGCAGGTGTCAGTACAAACCTACGATCCTGCTATTTTATTGCCTTGGTCCCGAAGAGGCGGAACAAATAATGACAGCAGTGATAAATGATTCATGGGTATTTGTATTGTTGACACGCAAGTTTAATATGACAGTTATAAGAAAGTGTGTACACTTGTGCAACCATATTATCTCAGTTGCTTAAACTTTCTTCCTCTCTTGCAAAGATTTAAACCATGTTTTACAGGTTATAAGTCACATTAATGGTGGAAAAGTTTTGAAATGGTTTATTTTGGTCTCCTTTTTTAATATATATATCACAAAAATCTGCAGCTTGAACCGTGGCATGGCAGACTTTGTGTACCCACTCTGTAGGCCTATAATTGTATCCGACATGGTGGACGCTCTTTTGACCCAAACAGATCCTTACTGGTGTTTACCGCTTTAGTTATTTTCTTTTCGATGGACTGGCACTCGGAACGACTTTCATCCCTTATCATACTCCCAACACTCTTCGAAAAATCTTCCATTTCTATTACTGTTCCTGTTTTTGGTCCTGAGCACAATTCGGTAAATTATCATGCCAAGTCCAAATAGATAAACCATGTGTAACTTTTGTGGTCAAAGGCCACATTTAATTGTTAAATCGAACAGATGAGCCAGGTCATTTATAGGTGAGGTTAATAAAAATGTCTATGCAGAATATGCAATAAGTAATAATTCTTCAACAAAGTGATCGTAATTTTTAGTCTTAATCGACCATAAGCATTATGTCAATTGCCTTACTTGACTAACATTTGCGGTTGATAATTTGCTTTATATTCACAATATAACATACATTAACTGAGTATTTAATGAGCCAAACGAATTAAAAAAAAAAAGAATTGGGTGATTGCTCATACACAGATGCCCCTGTTTCTCACCCAGCTGTTGCCCGAAAAAATATTCACAGTGGATTGTATTTTACACAAGAGAAAAGCAGGGTGGGATGTTCTACTAAAATGAGACTGATGATATATGGTGATTAATGGGATTTTTAATTCGTTTTTTTTTTGGGGGGGGGGGGTAAGAATTGATTGCAGTCATTCATGCCCAGATATGTAATATCATTTATTTTTATGTTTGAAATCTAGAATGTATTCTCAGATAAGTGCCTCCTTCCAGGTACAACTGTAGATTTATAAAGAAATTTGATAGCAGGGCAACTATAGTACAGTAATCCCCCCCCCCTCTCCCCACATGTTTGCTATTTACTATTCACAAATACACTCTGTGGAATTTATCCCCTGCAATTCGCTGAAAAACGAATCTATATGCATTTGTTTCTTTTCTTTTTTTTTTCTTTTTTTCGTGGTACTTTTTCTGAAATGTCCAAAAATAACCACAAGATGCTGCCACAACACTATCTAAATCGGAAAGTAGTAATTGCTGTGAAGGAAGTATATTGAAATGATGCCGATCAAGTGAGAGACAAGCATTGCATGTGGGGAGGAGCTAAGTGATGTGGAATCATAATTTGTGGTGTATTTACAGTTAAAATATTAACTCTTTTAGGGACAGCGGTTACTACAGTGGACAGCTTATCATGTTATCAAGTTACAGGGTGCATGAAAGGGTTAATATAAGCATTCATTAACATTTTTTAGGGGGAGGTGTCAATTATTTACAGGAGAATAAGTAAACTCCACACAGGAAGACTGCAGCCACTCCACACAGGAAGACTGCAGCCAAGATTTCAAACTTCAAATCTCAGAAATTTGAGGTGGATGTACTGACTACCTTGCTGCTGAAAGCATTTTATCCTAATCGTAAATATAAATAGCACCTCAAATTGTTTGCAGTCTCCCCACAATTTGCTAAAGTGGCAATTTTCAGCCTACATGGTATTGCTGTTCTATTCCGTTTGGAAGCACTTTATTTTTCCATCAAATGGCAATTTTGAGGTGAAAATGGTTTCAGAAATGACACACAAATAAAAGAACAGATCTGACAACTAAAATTGTGGTTCACAGAATTATTATTTTTTTAACCCTCAAGATCACTTTACGACTATCAGGCCATACTAACAGTTTCAACAAATGCACAAGCGTTTTTTTTTTTTTCAAATTTACTCTTTAATTACTCCATCAGTGTATGTCGCTGACATATAGGTAGACAAAACAAAGGTACGTAATTTGTTAAACTGTCATTTTTTTACTCTCTCCCGGTGCCACAGCAATCACTGTTTTAACTCTCCTTTTTTTTTTTGTCCTATTTTTTTCTTTCTTGAGATGCCTAACAACCCCAAATCACTTGCCAAATCCTCTCCCGGGTTTGACATCACACCTTCCAAATGTTCTGTCCCAGCCGGAAACGTGAGCCAGACGGTCCACATGCACAAGACTAAAAATCACATCCTTTTGTTGGATTGCCTTAATAGGCAAGACCAGGCCCGGGAAGGTTGGGTTGTGTTCGACCGGAGTAATAGAAAATAAGCCATAATGTTGGATTCACTGTACTGTCCTGCACCTAATCACAAAAAGCACTCCAACAGCAAAAGTCACAGGCATCAAACGTACTCTTCCCCTGTTCGCACTCGTCGTCGTCATTTTCTCCCCATCGTACAAGTCCCAAGTGGCCCTAAATGGTCCCCAGACCCAGGCAGCCATTTTATAAATTATTAATGGTGCTACAAGGAGGGGAAAAATGTTCATCGCCAAGTGTACTTTGCGGTGGTTTTTATGTATTTGTTTATTAGGGATCCGTTAATCACAAAGAGACCAATTCACTTTTTCGTGTGTCGAATATGTCCTCAGCTACTGTATTTGCTAAGTAATCGGCCTATTAGCATTTTTTGCGTTTGCTCTTTCTGAAATACCTTAAGACGCCACAAGAGGGAGCAAAGCCCCGATTCATAGGAAACTATTGTATACTATTACTGACTGTCGTTGTTGTGATACTTATTGCCAGCAGGTGTCAGTACAAACCTACGATCCTGCTATTTTATTGCCTTGGTCCCGAAGAGGCGGAACAAATAATGACAGCAGTGATAAATGATTCATGGGTATTTGTATTGTTGACACGCAAGTTTAATATGACAGTTATAAGAAAGTGTGTACACTTGTGCAACCATATTATCTCAGTTGCTTAAACTTTCTTCCTCTCTTGCAAAGATTTAAACCATGTTTTACAGGTTATAAGTCACATTAATGGTGGAAAAGTTTTGAAATGGTTTATTTTGGTCTCCTTTTTTAATATATATATCACAAAAATCTGCAGCTTGAACCGTGGCATGGCAGACTTTGTGTATCCACTCTGTAGGCCTATAATTGTATCCGACATGGTGGACGCTCTTTTGACCCAAACAGATCCTTACTGGTGTTTACCGCTTTAGTTGCGTTCAAGGTCAGCGAAAATAATGATGTTGCCACGAGCAACCTTGTCAGAGAACTGCTTGGGCAGACTCATTTGAAGCCAGCTTGACTTGTGAAGTGTTTTTTAGGAAATAAGTCAAGCTGTCTAGTTACATCTGACAGGCCCAGTCATCTGTATGCGGGGCACACAGGCCAACTTTGCATGGCACCTTTGCATTGCTTGCCCCGTCTTGGTTCGAAGCACCGTAGATCATTAAGATTCCGCACTCGGCGCTGGCTCATGTGGTCAAATTCATAAGACGTCCTCATAACACATGGGAACAAGCAGCTGTCAAAAGTGCTTTTTTTATGCAGGAAAAAGCGTATGTGAGAATCTGTAGCAGTCCTCTGGAGATTTAGATGCAGACCTGCATGGTAATTCCCCTTCTGACAACTATGTCAGCTCCAGAAGCAACACCGAGGCAGCTGCATTGATGTACAGTGGTGTCTTGAGATTCACCTCATTCAACCTGTACGTTTTTTGTTTTTTTTAGATACTAGCCGCCATTCAGCCGCATACTTGATACAAACGTTTAAAGTTTACTGTCAAACTAAACATACAACAGCATCTAGGGTGCAGTGCTATAGCCCTTCAAATAATGGATTGGACACAAATCGCACAGCTATACATGTAGACAAACAATGTAAGAAGACGCACAGCCACTTTTTTTGTCCTCACAGTCAAATATTTTTCAATGTCTGCAAAGAAAAAATCATATTAGTGCAGTACTAGTGAGTGGAGAAGTCAGACGTCTCAATGAAAGAGTATATACACGTTTGTCTGGCCAAGGCAGGCACATCAGAAAAAGCGGCACACTGGGCATTCAACTGATACAGTGTGACAAAAGCAACATTTTATTTATGTCATTACTTAATGTTTTAATAAAGTGCTAGTTTTCCTCAATTAAAATACACATTACAACAATTTTTGTTATGTTTTTAATTCAAGACTGGAACGAATTAATGGGTTTCCCATTCCTTTCAGTGGGAAAAGATGATTTCCACATATGAATGTTTTGTATGAGTGTCATCTTACACATGAAATGCGTATCTTAAGACCACAAGATGGTGCCAAGGGCCTAACTAACTGGAAAGGAGTAATAGGTGTCGAGGAAGTATATTGAGGTCAGAGACAAATGTGTTTGAATGTTGGGGAGGAGCAAAATTTAGTATCGGTTGTAAGCAGAAGTTACATGGGCTTTTTGTCCCCGATGTATTTACATTTTTAGGACATGGTCGTTTTTTAAAAGTTGTTATTTTGGGGGGTCGGGGGGACGTGGTTACGTCTCATGCAAATGAGACACTGCCGCCTGTACAATGCCCGTCTGAGCTTTCGCGTTGTAACTTGGCGAACGGCGATTTATTCTCCATGAGTGCATTTAAAGAGAAAGGCGAGCCCCCTCACGACAGTAAAAACATCAATTGTATTTTCACTTGTAGTTTCAGACGCCATCTTACACGAAGTTAACAATTTCGAAGTCTCACGTGGATAGATGACTCCTTTCTCGTCAAACGGAAAACAACATGCTATTGAGTCCACTGATGTTGTCTGTTTCTTCTCGAAGAATTCAGGATCCAATCCAAATGGCGCTGGAGATATTTGCTGCCGCTGCTGGCTTCCAGTCCGGCTGGTAAAAATGGATGTCGAGGCTGCGAGCCCAGTTGGCAAAGGCCATCTTCTCTGTGATGAAACGGTGGTGACTCCCTCGCCGGCTTCTCTCGTGGGACAGGTACATGGCGCACTCGGAGGGGCCGGAAGGCTCGTAGTAGTGATATGGCACTGACGGATTGGAGGGGGATCTACATTATATGCCAGAGTCAAATGAAATCAGTTGGCTTGGGTAAAGTAATTCAATCAAACAAACACAAATGTGGCTTGACTTAATGTTTCCCCAAATGAAATGAATTGAAATGGCATTCATTTGGTAAAGAATTAAACACTTTGTACATTTATGATTCGATGGTGGTGTACATGCCTTGGCCACCAGGGGCCGGTATAATATGTACTGACACATTACGGGTCGATTTGATTTTGAAACGCAGTAAAAGAATGTCGCAACCAAGCTGCAGTAATATTGGGTCTTTTTTCTCAGAGGATAAAGAATCTATGCCTGTATATGCTGTCTGCATGTTTTAGTTGAATTGATGGGTTAAAGCCAGCTTGTACTTGTATGACAGAAATGTTACGGCGTTCCCTTCAAGATTACCTGGACAGTTAATGACCGTTTTTTTTTTTCAGTGTTATTATCATTGGGACAAATTAGTATTCTACAGTTAGGGTTGTCTCTTGGCTTAGTCATCGAGGGTTTGCAAACTTGTTGCCGCCGCCGTTTCAGGACGTTATTAAAGATGAACAAGAAACAGGGAGCGGCATAAAAAAAAAAAAATCTGAGTGTGGCTGTTACTCAACAAACCATCTGCTCCTCTTCATACACTATTTTTCCGAGTCACTCAAAAACGGAGGTGGCAGAGTCAAACGTGGAGTTGTAAGTTCGTTAAATGGAAGGTATATGGTTTGAATGCAAAATGGCTGCACCGGTACACCCAACAGCTCATTTAAAAATAAATCTGAGTACCTGCAGTGGTCAGGTGGCACCATGCCATACACGTTGATCCTGTCACACAGTTCCCGGGCCATGGCCATCGTGAACCAGCCAGTACTCAGCCAGGAGTTGGAACTTTTCCTGGGCATTCGAGAAATGTTTGTTGTATACCTCCCATTAGGCACTTTGACATTTTCACATTTACCTGTCAACGCCGGTTTCATTTTTGAAAAGTTCATCAAAGGCCATCATTTTAAGTCGAGAAATGATATAAACGTTGAGGCCGGGCAGCTGCTGGTTCAACATCTTCAGATGGTTGTAAACGTGGCCTCTGCCGTCGCGTTTCATGCAGCTGCTCGGCCCCCAGAAGACAAACACCGTGCCCTGGCTGGCGTTGAGCAGCTCTCGTTGCCTGCGGAGCACCCGCTGCAGGCTGGAATGCGCGACCACGCGTAGGCTGGTGCGCCGGCCCACGTCTTGCTCGTAGCCCACGCTGGGGGCGTCGTTCATACGGATGACGCACTTGGAGCGGTCGATTTCTGGGCCCCTTTCTCTGCCGGTCAGCTGGCCCGAGCTGGTGACGAGGGCGCATGTCCTGCAGTGCATCCTTAGAGCCTACGGAACAATTACAATTACTGACAGACACTGGATATAAAGTCTGCACACCCCTATTCAAACGCCAGGTTTTCCTGATCTTGGCTGGACCGGCACATAACAATCGTCCCTTGCATTTTGACTTGAGCTCTGTGCATGCATGTGTATGTACCTGCAATGCCCTCGGTAACAGACGTCATTGTTTATCATACCATCCACAGTCAGGGATAAACAATGACTTCTCAGCCACGTTGTTTGCATGCTACGGTGTGAAAATAATGGATGGAATTGACATTGACTGCAAGAATCAAACGTTTATTTCGAAAGACTGAATTTGTATTCGGAATCAACTTCTGAGCACCCCTGACTTTTGCATAACTCTGCTACTGATGTTGATTAGCTCAGTTTATTGTCTATATTGTAAATGGATTAATGGGCTGCTGCTTCTAAATTATGGGCCAGTATCATGGCGGAAAATAATTAAATTGCACTACATTAGCCCCAAAAGTTGCTGGCCCACCGGGCATTTACCGTGTATGCCAGGTGGTTCGTCCAGGTCAGTTTGTGATGTCAACTAAATGAAACCAAGTTAAATCCCCAGTTATAGGGGGTATGCCATTTACAATTGTTTATTCTGACCTCCACTCGCTGGGAAAAAAAAGACTTGTACAGTTTAGACACACTTATGGTGTAAAAAGTTTTCACATGATTTATCTTGGCCTCATTTTTTTTTGTATCAACAGAGGAGTAATGAGTCTTTCTCCCTGGAATTATTCCCCGCTTTAAGGGAGGATTACATCGGCAGTCAGAGATTTAAGCTTCACACCACATCGGGCTCTCAGGTGAGATGGTCTATTTACACTCGGAGCACCGCAGGCTGTGCTGCTTGCATCGCTTGTTTGTAAAAACGTGCAACTCTAGATCGAGGCTGTGCAAACTCTTGTACTCGGGGACTACATTTGATTCTTAAAAAAGAACACATTGGCCAAGTAATTCCGTAGATGAGATTTAAAAAAAAATCCATCTCTATTCCAGTGGTGCCCAACCGGCTCTGTGAACAAGATCAAAGCAAATTTTGCAATCGACAGACAGCAAGCAGCAGTGCAAAGCTCGCGCCTGATTATGCTTTGTGCGGTGCGGCGCGAGCGTGCACGACTGCCCTCCGTGCGGCAGCAGTCGACCTCAGACGGCTCTGACGAAAAAACAGATAGCGGCAAAGGTCTGCTGTGGTATGTTTACAAGCTGCAGCGGAGGGTCCTCGTCACGCAAGTAGCAGTGAGGAAACTGAACGTCACAATGGATTAGGAAGAACATATTTTACTTGGTTTTGCAAGCAAGCAGTGATGGGTCACTGCGCTTTATCACTCGGCAATAATCCCTCAAGAAGAAATCTATATCCTGCTTAATTTTTTTTTTTTTTTTGGTCACTAAATCTTTTATGACGAAAACATGAATTATGAATGGAGAAAGTATAAACTACGGCGAGTTTCCGCGGATTCCGCAGTGTGTTGAGCGTTGGAGTTCAGCAGCTCATTCTCGTGGTGCTACAGCACGAGGATTGAAATGTTTTGTTCGTTGCGGGCCGTTCCTCTGGAATTTAACACGCGACCTCAGGCGTAAGGCCGTAAAGCCACAGAAATGATTAGTAGTTCTTTGTGAAACTAGGGCGGGGCCTTAATTCATAAAAGAAACACCTGAATGACGTCAGAATACAGATGTACAGTGACGCCTTAAGGTATGAATTTAATTTGTGCCATGACCACCCTTGTATCTCAAAACAATCATTTCTCAAATCGACTTTCCCCATTGGAATAAATAGAAATTAGTTAATTCTACGACCCCCCCTAAAAAAAATGTTTGTCTTTTTAAAAATCTGTTTTTATAACTTTAAATTATTTTAAACCACGTGGGAGGGGCAAAACCACGAAAACATTTGATATGACCTCGCTCACGATAAACGGCGAATAATAACAAAAATGTTTCATTTACTTTGCGGTCCTCGACACCCGTGTAGCCTCCGAGTGTTGACACCAAAGCCGTCTGTGATCTTTTTCTCATGGCAGGTGCAGGACCTTCTTTTTGTCGGGAGGATGAAGCTGATGATGGCGGCGAGAACGCCGACGATGATCTGCCACCACGAGCTCTCCTGTTGTACGCCACCATCAAACTGGTCACCATGGTGACGACAAGGATGCTACCAACACCTTGGCACTGGAACGGAGAGGCGTTAACACATCGAGACAAAACATGTCATCGCACGACACAACCAAGACTAGGACAGAGGTTAGTCAAACTCGAGGCGAGCAACAGCTGTCTAGTGCATAAAAAAAATTTATAAAAAATTGTAAGGACTGTCTGATTTTTTTTTTTTAAATTGGACAGGTAAAAAAAAAATAGCACGGCATTAATGCACCCATGTTGGTTCATGATCTACGAACAGTGTAATATATAATGCCAACTCACAAGCTGGAGCTCGCTCGAGAGCATCGCTGAATTCTAGAGCACAGCCCCCCCGCCCCCCTCCCAAAGGAAAAAAAAAAAAAGCACGACCCACATATTTTCCCCCTACAGGTCTCATTTATAAATTACCAAGCGGATCCTCATTTTCCTCTCCCCTCGTTTGGAGCCCTCATCCTTTCTCGGCCAAAGCTCGCACGTAGCGTCGGGTCTCTTCGGCACGCATGAGTGGGACCTCAGCACAGGGCTTATCCGCTACTCTCCTCCCCATGATCCTAAACACCTCCGTTACTGTATTACTTGAAGTCCTAGTGCAGTGTTTCCAAAGCTTTATTCAGCCATGGTATCTATTTTACATCAACAAAAATAAAATCTCACAGTACACCAGGAAGCAAAAATGTCACAAAAATTACAGTACTGTATATGTACTGACATAAAGATGATCTCATCTCCATTTAGTCCTGAATTTACATGGAAAACTGTCCCCGTGTGTCTAGTTTCGTGCCATGCGCAAGTCTCACGTAAGGCGCAGTCGAAATCCGCGCAGAGGTACGGTAGACCTTGTTTTGGTATTTTTCCACACGCGGGCACAGCATAGTGGATTTTACTCTGTGCCTTTAAATTCGTCATGGAAGAGGTCTTATAGTTCTTGGCATAGCCAGAGGTGTCAAATCCAGATCCTGAGAGTAAAGACCTTGACGCAGTTTTTCGTTAGCCACAGGTGCTTCGACACAACTGGCAGGTAAACTCTGGAGTTAAAACAAAGCCAAACTGTGGCAGGGTTTTTAATTTCTGGACCTGATCAGCATTCAGAAGATTTACGCGTCTTTTTGTTTTTCAAGTGTAAAGCATCTAAAATAACAGATAGTGTATTTCATTGCATTGTGTTCCGTGATGGCCTGCCGTGAAGCGAAATGAAGGTTTGAATCATAATTTGAGCGAACCCAATGAAAGATTGTCAGCATACATACCATGAGACAAACGCAGATTTTGGCCAACGGCAGAAAACGTGTGGATTCTTAATTGACAGCATTCACACAATGGCTGACAGCCCATTTCCGCACAAATGAATCCCCCGGCGCAAATAAATACGACGGCATTGTTGGCTTATCGTTTGGCTTTGACTGCTACAGTCAAAAGCTTCACAGGAGTTAATTAAGATGGCGCAGGGATGGATTTGGAGATTACAAATCTGTATTCTCAGCTCGCAAGGTTAACAGCCGATAGCGCTTCGCTGGTTCTTGAAGATAATTGACAAGAACAGAGAGCGGTGGCTAACATATTCTTCTCGTTCATCACGGCAACCTGCGAAGGCTGCGGCTCCTCGCGTGAGAAAGACTTGCTGGAAATTGTAATCTATTCGTGAGAAGCTGTGTGGGGAAAAAAATGATGGTTTGAGCCTATTAGCATAATTCCCCAAATCATTTACTCGATGGTAATGGTAATCTGCAAAAGTTGAATGGATGCAACTGTACACTTCTTATTTGGGGAAATTGTTTTTTTTTCTCCCTTGTTTTCTGAAAATTGTTTAAAAAAAATGTGACATGGATAATATTTCTTTACACTCCAAATAACATTCACACATCTCTTACCTCTTGTATTGATATAAAGAGATATTAAGCACTGTGTGACAGAAATAAATAAAACTAAACTAAAATAAACCTAATCACCTTTTGAAGATGCCTAATGGGAATTTAAGAAGCTTGTTGCAATGAGCGCCACTTTCCGCTTCTATGGTTATCATCATCTTTTAGCCTTTTTTTTCTTCTTAAAATTTGTTGCAATTAATGTTTTTTACTACTCATTTATCTAATTGCATGTATGCGATCCAATAAAACAAGAACATTGGTGACTATCTATAAGCTCTTAGCTTTCACCATGTGTGAGACATCTAATGGAAGGAACTGAAATGGATAGTGAGAAAAGTCTTCCGCTGCAGCAGGGGAACGATGGAAGCGGGTCCATCTGCTTGTGCCATCTATTTATGGCATCAAAGCCCAACCGCATCACTTGTTGGGGAGCGCACGTTCCAAAAGATACTATAATAGAGCCACTATTTCCTTAACCAATCAGATTTCAGAGTCACCTGAGCACATTAGCATATTCCCAAAAATCTTGTGCTTGCAGCTAGGACAGCTAGGTAACAACTGGGAATGCGGTGTTGCGAAATGATCACCGACCTCTACAAGTGCAGTGAAATAATTCATCACACACCTTCCACTTCGATACCGCAGGTTGAAAAGTTGTTAAAAATGCTGCTAACCCTCCTCCTCTTGCTAAAACATTTTATTTCTGATGAGACAATGTGAAGCTCAAACCAACTTTTTGGGGTACTTAGGTGAAGAAGTTGACTGGTTTGTACAAGGCCTACCAGGTTCCAATTGCACGGCATGCCACTGATGGCAGAGTAATGATGTTGCACTAGCACTTGCCTTCTTTAAGACTGATAGTCAGAAAGTCATTACTTTTTAGCTGACAGTCTTTATAGCAAATTAATTACGCCCCTTTCCAGTCCAATAATATGTTAGAGGGGTGACATACATGGGGGGTAATGTCTGGCAGTTGCAATTACTGTAACATCCAGGTTGGCTCCTTTGGCTGCAGCTGTGAAATGATGAAATGTGCATGTCGAGGAGTTAATTGTACACCCTGCGGCTCATGGCTCCCCCACTAGTTATTGCATGCCTCTTGTGCTGCTCACTCCTCAAAATCAAAATATTTCATTCACACAAGTACAGTTAATTTTACATCTTTTTTCCCCATGCTCTTGAATCAGATTCAGAAAAGTAAAGTCAATGCGAGTCAAAAACTGGAGGAAAGGAAGAGCACATTTTCCAAAGCATATCACATCGCACATCAAACGTGGTGGAGGTAGTGTGACAGCAAGGGCATGCGGTTGCTAATGGAACAGGCTAACAACTGGTGTTTATTGATGTGACTGCCGACTATGCGCTGGACCAATTTTTGAACTAAAGGGCCATGTTTCAACTGCCCCCCTACCCCTCCTCCATTAAATTCAATAGTTGAAAAGCATCTTTTCGCCACTGACTCTTTTCTGCTCCTTCGTCCGCCATTGTTTTCAAGCTTGGACCACCAGTGTGGTACAACACTTTATTCACCGCGAGCTGCGTTTAAATGTGCTCTATAAATAAACATTACTGGACTCACTTTATCGTCACTTATTTCCAATTGGCAATTTATTAAAATGGGAACGAAATTATACACTCCTTTGTTGAGGGGGAAAAAAAGGGGGTGCTGAAGTTGCATGTAAATACCTGCAGGGGTCAGTATTTTGCTTAACTTTCTCAGCCAAGCCGAAACAAAGGCGGTACTCATTGTTTATTAAGAATAAAAACCAACCAATCCGACATAATACGAATTCCTCCAATTTAAGTAAAAAAATAAAACACAAAACATCACCGGATCTATCCAAATAGAACGTCAAGAGTAAACAAAAGCAAAGGCGAGGAAACTAGCGCCGAACAAAGAACTGACAGCGGCGGACCCTTTAAGACCATTTCGGAATAATTAATGAAGTCAAGCTGTAAACACCACAGAAGCTGAGCTGCGTGGCCGTAGCGAGCATCCTCCCGACCCGACGAGACCTCGGAGCCAGGTCGCCGCGTGTTTTGTTTGGGCTCACGGCGGTTCCTCTCCACCTCCACCCTCTTGTCCCCCCCCCACCTGCACACCTCGACTCGGCATATGCGTTCCCCGGGTCCAAGGCGACGACGGCGCAGCATCGGTCCCATTTGAAGAGTGCCATGGCTCGGAAGACGGTCATTCCATCCATGTATTATGGTGAGTGGTTTTATTGTTGTTGACTACAACATTTTCAAGCCCGTTCGTCTTTCTCTTGTCCGGTAACATCAAGACAGAGCTCCCCGGTAGGTACCCCTCGGTGGTGGTTCCGAGGAGTCCAGTGAAGGAATGTTAGCCAGCTGCTAACAGACAAATCCTTTTGTCACAAGTTACAATTAAATCCCCCCCAAAAAGAAAAAAAAGGTTGTCAGCCCTTTCGATTAGAGCACTGTCGTTTCTTTCGGAACGACAACATTTTATTTATTACTATTTATTTGTGAATATTTATGCATCCACTCTTGTGGTTTCACCTACGTTGTGTGCGTCTGTTTTTAATTGAATTTATTCGCTTAATTTTTGTCGTCAACCCTCGTCGCCGATGATGCTTGATGCATTAGCGTGATGACAGTGACATCTCGCTCTTCGGGCAATTACAGAAGGTACGAGCGAATTGGTGCATCAGAGAACTCACTCGTGTTAGTCAGAGTTTCTGACACGAGCACAAAAGGACAGTGACAAAGGATTCGATGGGTGAGATAGTATTTTTGCAGTGTTAAATCATATGGGTGGAAGCAATATTATTTTTCATTCGCGACTGAGATCCTAAATTACTGTTTAGGATTAGGGTTGTAAATTAAGGTGGGAAAGTTTCTATAGGGAGTTAAAACGGGGTATTTGGGAAATATTCCATGTTGAAATTGTCTGTGGGAATTGAGACAATTTTAATGGAAAGGTATAATATTCAAGCATGAATACGAAGATTTTGTTTTGTCATATGCAGACAACCGCAAAATAGAAGAGATTGCTCTCCTTGCCCACAAATGTGGCATTGCAATTACCCTAATTGCTTCATTTTTTTCTTCTCTCAAGCAAGCGATACATCCGAAGCATATGCAAAGATATAAACGACATTTAAGATACCTTGCTTGTTTGGTTTTTTTTTCTGTGAAGAAAATCTCGGGTTCTATGTTAAGGCTATATTATTGCCCAGCCCTTTTGGAACTGAAATATTGAATATTATTTGGCAGCTGTGGCTTCTTCCAGTAAGTCACCCTATAATTTGATCATCTCTAAATATTAAATGGTATTAAAATTTGTGGGAGCTAACAACTATTGGTCACACCCTCTTGAGGAATTATTTGAAGGGTAGGTGGGATTGTTGCAGTATGCTGTGATAGATTTTCTGTCGCCATGGTTTGTCTTATGACGTCAGCAGTTTCTGGTTATTGTTCATACACCGGGCTACTTTACCACTATTGACGCTGCTAGATTTCTGTGTCCCTGTTGCCCCTTTCTCTTGTCATGCATCCCGGTGCTGAGAGCCCACTGCGCCTCTCTGCTATTGACCCCTGGTGTCCCCGGCGTGTCGTGACGGCAATGCTCTGCCAGTGGTGACTGCAACCCGTCAGTCGTAGTTTGATTGCCACGGTTCTCTGCAGATGGGCCACTTGGCAGCTTGTCAAGTTGAGGTTAGCTGGTTTGAGTTTTGTGTAAAATGTTACTCACGAAAATAACATTTGACACATACCTGAGCAATTACTGTTTGTCAAAAAGGTACAATCATGTCTTTGCGAAACAGCATAAGGCGCATGTTATGTAGTAAAGTGTACGTTCTCCCCGTGCCTGTGTGGCTTTTCCGCGGGTAGTTAGCTGGCTTGAGTTTTGTGTAAAATGTTTTAATACTCACGAAAATAACATTTGACACATACCTGAGCAATTACTGTTTGTCAAAAAGGTACAATCATGTCTTTGCGAAACAGCATAAGGCGCATGTTATGTAGTAAAGTGTACGTTCTCCCCGTGCCTGTGTGGCTTTTCCGCGGGTACTCCGGTTTCCTCTCACATTCAAAAAAGAAGACTCAGTTAGCTCATCTCTCATATCTTAAAAAACTTGCAATTTGGTTCATCCGTATCCAAAACTCTACTTTGCGAAACAGCATTAGGCGCATGCTATGTAGTAAATTGCACGTTCTCCCCGTGCCTGTGTGGCTTTTCCACGGGTACTCCGGTTTCCTCTCACATTCAAAAAAAAGAAGACTCAGTAAGCTCATCTCTCATATCTTAAAAAAACTTGCAATTTGGTTCATCCGTATCCAAAACACTCTTCCGACAAATCTTTGTGGTTGTTTTTTCAACCAAACGTTTTATTCTCTTCATTTGATGTTTAGTTTGACAATAAGCTTCAACTGAGGGTGACTTGAAATAGCTTGCAGCCTCTTTTTGTAGACTTTGTCCCTATTTGCCAAACTGCTGCTTGCTGCTATCTCAAATTTTTGCTTGCAAGTCAAAGCCCAAAATTCAACCAAACGTTTTATTCTCTTCGTTTGATGTTTAGTTTGACAGTAAGCTTCAACTGAGGGTGACTTGAAATAGCTTGAAGCCTCTTTGTAGAATTTGCCAAACTGCTGCTTGCTGCTATCTCAAATTTTTGCTTGCAAGTCAAAGCCCAAAACATTTTTTGAATCATCCGACATATCATATCTTAAAAAAATTCACAAGTCGGATCACCTGTTTCCCAAACTGTGTGTATAACACAAGACTGCATATCATACATACACACAGTACAATTCAGTCGTGTTCTTTCACCTTCCGTACCAGTGAGGCAAGTCAATTAATGAGGGTATCATATCTTAAAAAAACTCACAAGTCGGGTTACCCGTTTCCCAAACATTGTGTGTAAAACACACACAAGACTACATATCATACACACAGTACAATTCAGTCGTGTTCTTTCACCTTCCGTGCCAGTGAGGCAAGTCAATTAATGAGGTTAATTGTGCCGCAGTGGTGTTCAGTGCATCAAGCTAATGGAGCGTTTTGTGGAGTCTTGGTGTGAGCAAGTGGTAGAAATAGTAATGGCGCTATCATGTCCTTTTTTTTTTAATCTACTTTTAAACACTATGACGCTTGTACTTTTATAGCAGTAAATGTCAATGCAGTTCCCTTGTTAACCCTTGATTTAAAGTTCCTCTGGTGTACAATTACTGAAATGAAGTTAATATCATAATCATTCAGGGACAGGGTCTCTGACACGACTAAATTCTGTAGTTGTTCCATTCATTAAAATGGGAAAAAAAAGAGAGAGAGAAGCTCAAGTCTGGCACAAAGTTAATTAAGAAATTTCTTGCATGGGCGGCTTCCCTAAATCCTGCATTCATACAGCGAGCCAACATAGACGCTTAAGACGCTGTCACATTACATTCAGACGCCACTGCGGATGGAATTTCACTTTCCTGGATGTCTTAATGTGACTTATCCCAAAGTAAACTGAGATGCAGAATTGTTCCTGCACATTTTTTATTTTTAAGTGCGATCATAATCTTCGGTCAGAATCCACCTACTTTGTGGTTTCAGTGTCTCAGAGCTTCAGAGTAGCTTATTTTAATTATTCATAACATTGCCAAACTTCAACTTGTCTTTTCGAACCATTGTTAAGTAGGTAGGCAGTTATGCAAATACACATTGAGGTAATCCATTGTCGCATCAGTCGACATCATAAAACTGTTTCTTTTATTGTCGCTCAAGTGTTATAAAAATAAATGAACCGCAGGCAATATTAAAACACAAGCCTCCTGGTGTTAGTATACCACAGACATAAGATATACATGGAGATGGAGGAGACGATCACAGCTAATAAATAAGTTGCAGTAAAATTGGACGTTTGACACAGAGGATCAAGAATATATGCCCGTTACCGTTTAACTATGGCTGCATTGGATCGCCTTTGGATAGTCTCCCCGTGTGTCACAGTAAAGTGTAAGCTCCTAAAACATGCCGGACCCTTGTAAATACAGGGGTTATTAATCAGTTTTTGTGTCATTAAATCTGCTGCAAAGAGTGTCTCAAAAGAGAGATGAGATGATGGAGATGATTGACATTGTCTGCACATATGCATGGCACAATGCATGCGTGCACGCGACTAAATACTATTTTTAGTTTTTCAAATGCTAAATTGGTTGACTGGTGATTCATCGTTATTATTCACAAGCACATTTTCATTGGTGCTTTTGATATTTTATAGGAGAAAAGGCGGGTTCAGATGGATGAGGCGTCAACTAAAGCGACAACTATTTGCATAAAAGTCACCATTGTGTAGGAAATATATCTTTCATACACATGCAGCGATGACTCTCTTTAACAACCCAGGATAAACGTAGCTCCTCCCTGACTGTATCAATCCATAAATTCAACTTAAACATCTACGCTGCCATCAACTACTACTTTCCTATTTGCCACAACTTTGGCGCCATCTTGCGGGATCAAAGGGCGTTACATAACGAACCCGAAAAGCATGCAGAGATTAAATGTAAATTAGGATTTACTCCATTTAACTGTGCACATACACAGTTGCACGTTGGAATATTTGGATTTCAATTCACGGCCTATCCTTTGATGATCAAGTGATCCAAACCCGATTGGGCCTTAAAAAAAGCTTTCCTACACAAGTAGCCAAGGTCACATGGCAGCAACAACACTTCCAGCCAACAGCACAGAAGCAGCAGGCTTGCTGTCAACGGCTGACAACTCTCAGACGCTAACGCCCCTCCTGGGGGTCGAATCCCAACCCGCATTCCCGCTGTTGTTTTTTAAAAAGGTTGTCAGTGAGCATTGACTGTCTTTTTTTTTTTTTTTTTGCCGCTCTTCCTGTTAAGAGATGATCCAGCGGGCTTTAAAAATAGCCAGCTTGCTGACTACTTCGTCCTCCAAAGCTTGCTAATATTTGAAAAGATCCCTGGGGGGGTCCTGCTAAGTAAATGTAAAGCATAGATCTCGATACTGATGTCTCGAAAAGGAGACAAGAACTTAAAAGGTTGTGCTTTTCTCAGGAGGGAGAGAAACCGTGTGAGCAAGGATACGGAAAGGGCAGTTGAGAGCAACAAAAGTGGGGGGGGTGGTGCGGTGGAGAAAAAAGGATGGATATTATCTTCAAACACCCTTAATGTTAGAAGGAGCGAAAAAAACGAGCCATCTGGTGCCTCTTAGCTGCAGTGATTGCTTCCGAGATGGAGTCCAACTGGAACTGTGGGGGACTGGTGTGATTATTTTGTGAGAGAGAGAGAGGGAGAGTGAGAGTGAGAGTGAGAGAGTGTGTATATGTGTGTGTGCGTGTGAGAGTGCCTACGAACTGTTCCATGCACTACCCAAAGTGGTAACACTTGGCACAGCAGTGATGCTGACTGCAGTAGTAAACAGACATTTGTTGACAATGTATATGTCGACATATGCCTTAACTTAAGAGTGCCCTGACCTACAAGCTTTTCAGTATACATGCCTAGGTTGCTCTCCCACCTGCCCCCGTTGTGTGTCTGCATTTGCTTGTTTGTGTGTATTTTTAGGGGAGGTCCACTGGAGCAGATCATTTCATGTTCCACTCCCCGACTGTCCACGGCTTGTATTTTAGAGTAGATTCCAGAGGACAACACAGATGCCCAAAAGGCATTTTTTTTCCCAATTGCTTTCCACAGCGCTGTGGCAGAAGCAAGTGCTTTCATCAAAAATGAATGGACGTACGGCGCAACATACAGCATCCCCCGCTTACTTGCTCAATGGCTCCATCCCGCTGAACCGCATCATTATTTTGCTGTATTTGAAGATGCGATAACAATTTTTTTTTTCCAGGCTGCATACGATTAGAAGTACTCACAGTATATTTGAGATGTTTGTTGATTGTGCTGATTCATTCATTCATTCATTTTCCGATCCGCTTATTCTCACGTGGGTCGCGGGGGGTGCTGGAGCCTATCCCAGCTGCTTTCTGACCGGCGACCAGTTCAGGGTTCACCCTGCCTCTCACCCAGATGAGAAAGGCTCTGGCCCATCAGTGACCCAAGTGAGGATAAGCAGTACAGCGAATGGACGTACGGCTGCGACTCCGATGGTGGTATGAGAACAACTTCACGTGACTTTAGGAAAAAATGTCTTCTACCGTGACTCACAATCTGTCGACCTCCCACTGGCTCTCATTGATCGCTCTGTGATTCCAATCTGCTGCGGCCATATGGACGAATCTTTTTTCGTCCTGTCCTGCGAAGGATCTGACCAGATGACTTGTTTTCAACATAAACACACTCAGCAAATCATGATATACGTGTTACAGTTGTGGTATCGATGAGCAAAACCTTGATTTTTCTTGGGTTGTCCATTTCTGGAATGTGTGGAGTCGTCGCGGTGTGCCTCAGGGGTCAATCCTCGAACATAATGTTTTTTTTACTTGTATTTCTTTCATTATGTTTTCTGTTAGATGCTTATTATTTTTTCAATCAACAATTGTATTGCTATAGTTTTTCCCAGTACATATTTTTATGTATCTTCAGCATCTTGCATAAAGTAAAAAGGTTCATGGATATTATAGTCAAAGTTTCACTTATCCCATCAAATTGGTTCAATGTTGGTTTTCCCCCCAGCTCCTCCAAAAAAGCCGGATTCATATCAACCTTGCTTTGGAATTTGAGAAAAAAAATGCTTTTGTCTTGTTAATCATATTTGTTGCTAAAACTAGTCTGTAATTTTTCACTCGGTCCTGCATGCAGCAGAAACAGGAATTGGTCAAAAATCAAGTCTTCGTGGCAACTGTACTGCAAATTTTTTGGCTTTATTTTCAAATTTGAGGTTAAGGATTACACTGATCACATTCACTGGTCTTCTTTGAGCTGCATTCTCTCAGTTTTCAAACCCTTAATGCAAAACTCTCCCCTTCACTCCACTCTCATCTAATTGCAGCTGAATGTCCCACATTTCAAATGAGGACTTTTCTGCCTTTGCATTCTTCATTTCTATTATTAATTAGGGAGTTGAGAAGCTCTTTACCGAAATTCCTACCCCAGAAAATGTTTATGTAAGTTTCTCTGATGCGAGTCGATGACTTCTGGGTTGTGCTCGTATTTAAGTTAGCAAAGAAACCAACAGATGTGACAACTGCATCTTGGCCGACAAGACCATCCAAAATGCTTTGCTGCCAATGCTTTATGATACCAATGTGTTCAGTTTACTTGCGATCAGTTGGACAAAAGCCGATAAAATTCGTGTGAAAACAGGCGCCCTCATTCACCGTACACAATATAGTACGTAATTTTGTTCATGAATCTAACCTCTCTGTTTTGCTTGTCTTCTTAGGTGAGCCACGCAAGTTTGACCCAAAATTCAGAGGGCCGATTCATAACAGGTATTGATTATTCTCACTATCAGATTTTTTCTTTTGGGGGGGGCTGAACTTCTTTTGGGCCAACTACAAACCAAGATGCATCATAAAACTAGTCACAGCTTGTGACGTGCATGTATTGATTGTGAGTATTGTGTAAGCTTTCTGCCCGGGAGGTGACAGATTGATCATTTGTCATGCTAGGTTAATATAGACAGAGGTGAAGTGCCGACGGCGCTCTCCGCCTCACCGCACAAATCAATAACCATAAGTCAAACCGGCGGTGGGAGTTTGTCTGATGACACATGTTCTGAAGTACACACACACACACACACACACACACACACACACACACACACACTCAAACAAAACAGATTTTGTCCAGTTCTGTTTTTCAAATGTCGACCTGTGCACGCGCAACAGTGATCATCCACAACTTGAAGCAACTCTTCTTTGTGCGAGCCTTCATGTCTGTATTATACTGCCCCCAAGTGGCCAAGGTAGGCACAGCAGTAGCAGCAACACAATGTCCATTGAATTGAAGCAAATAAAATGTGTCCAAAATGTTTAATTCTTCACCTTCTGTCTGATTACGTCATTATTGCTTGTTTTTATAATGCATCATAGAACTTTATTTTAGTTATTTAAAAACATTTAAAAAAAAATTTCTGTTATTTTGCAGAGGCTGGAATTTAGAATTGTCGAATCAACGTTTAAAAAGTATTTGGCTTGGTTGATCAATTTCTGGGATTGGATTTATTTCTTTAACATGGATTTTTTTAAAACTCCTATTTCTTCAAGGCACCAGTCTACATGTGAGACAAGGTCGCAATTGAAGGGCCACAGGCAAAATGTGCTTTACTTCATCTACATGTTGATTTAATCCATGAGAAAATCCAAAAGATGTCAGGTTCATTACACAACGTTTGTCTCGGACCAGGCCTTTTTCTTCTTCTCTTTGGCGACTGTTTTTAATACAGTTCTTGTTTTGGATCTTATCTAGCGCAGGTGTCCCTAATGAATTGGCTGATGGGTGTCTGGGAATTCCAGTGGCACAATGCAGAAAAGATTTTTGTATTGAAGCACGAGCAAAACCTCCCCGAGGGTCTCCACAGGCTTTTTGTGGATGTTTCTTTTGATGATTTAGTCATTTTCAGAGCTCATGCACGATCTTATCTTGTTTCAATTCAATGTCTGCAGGCTTCTATAAGGGTGTTTTGGCTTTCAGTCTTTCTACTCCTTCCTCCGCAGCGCATGTCTCTGCTCCATCTGGGTAAAGGCGCCACACACACTTTGAAGTTTCTTTGGGTGAGAGGCTTTCTCCTAATGAGAAGCTTCAGAGAACATACTGTAGAGCACACATCTTGTTTTCGCATACGTTTCCACGTAGGCCTTTAACAATACACTCTTGAAAGAGAAAATCGCAGTACTCTAAAGAAATTTGACACCCTTGATGCCACGACCTGTCCAACTTTCAGATTTTGTGCCTCTAATCCAGATACATTGTGGCATTCCAAGCTCAGCAAACTGAGTACATTGAGGCGATACTCAAAAATAAACATTTTAGGAATATCAATATAAATTCAAATAAAAGTTGTGTGATAACATATAAGGTTTAATGGGTTTGAGTTTTCAAACATGTTCTAAGCTTGGATTTAAAATGACTTGGCGAGGTACAATTACCAATACAATTAATAGACAGCTGTCACTTTCTGTAGATGTATAAAAAGCAGATTTAGAGCATATTCCAACTAATTTTCAACACAAGCTAGGCTGATCTTGAAATGCTGTTGTCCTACTTCCTGCTTTCAGTCTTCTTCTTTGAAAATAACAGTGTAAAACAATAGTTTGTCCCCGCCTCGTGGCCAACAGCGGAATTACACCCAACATTAAAGTCCACAACAAAATAGTAACTGTACCAATAAAAATAATCTGCAAAATTGCGGGACTGTAAACCCGGAAACTGTGATGTGTGGGACCACTGTATGTTTTTCTATATTAAGAATAAGAATGAGAAAACCTTTATTCGTCTCACAATGGAGAAACTCCCAATTTACAGCAGCAAAGTTATGAAAGGAAGAAAGCAGAAGAACAAAAAGTATAGGAGCTGCTGTAAAGGCAGCCACTTTCGCGGCACCATCTTGAAGTCATAATAACATAATAACAAAATAATACAACTGGTATCGTTACAGTCCTACTCCCATCCTAATAAATGCAGCCATGAAGGTCCCGCATGTGTGTGATTCAACCGGTTATCCACTTTGAACGCGTGGGAATCAACCGAGAATGAATTAGCCGACTCCGTGGCCTGCTTTCCTGAGATAAGAGAACAAAGCCAAATTGTTTTCACTCTCACATCGTCCGCTTCCCCGCATCACTCACACTCGCGTGCTTCTGAGGTGACTTTGTAGCAGCCGCCGCACGCTGCTGTGTTTGCACTTTGTCTTAATCGTACACGTGCGTCCCTATAGTGGCTAGTTGACACATCTGCTGTAACTCTCTCATTACTGTGGAGAAACAAGGTCAGCTCGCTGCCAGCCGCCACCTCAGATCTCAGCCATCTTCAATGCAGATGATGCGCGCGGCCAAGTGATGGTTACCGTACACTGTACGAGCTTTGAAGGATGAGAGGGCGGTTTCAAAGAGGCGGCGGTTGCCATGGCAATCTGAGCAGCGCTTTCCCCTTGTTCTTTTACGATTGAAAGAAAACGCTCACATCATTGTCTGCCGTTCAACCGCCTTTTTGGTTCGCCGCGTGTCCTGGCTGTCCGTTTTAAAATGGTGACTGTCTTCCCGAGGCAAATGTGTGCCCACTTTCACTGCCTTTGTGCATTCTTTGTTTCCCAAAAAACAAAAAAAAAAAACAAAACAAAAACAAAAAACACTTTGAAACATTCACATGCTGCACACGGTAGTTTGTGTCTCCTGCACAGTTAGATTTGTTATGTGAGAGAGGTGATAGTGTTTCAATGGGAGACAAATGATTGATGTGTGTGTGTGTGTGTGTGTGTGTGTGTGTGTGTGTGTGTGTGTGTGTGTGTGTGTGTGTGTGTGTGTGTGTGTGTGAGAGATACACTCTTTATGGATTTTGCTGCGCAGTTGGAGATCAAACATCATAAAACCTTTAACCGTGCAGGCAATTTTTTTTTCAGTTTAACAATTTCAACAGTCGTATTAAAAAAGGAAAACTGCTCATTTCATTCTTCATTTATTAATATTGCCGCTACAAGTTTTGATTTACGGTTTTAGGGTTTCTGGCATATTTTTGTGCTTTGCCAACACACACACACACACACACACACACACACACACACACACACACACACACACACACAAATGAAGTTGGATTCATTGTACAGATCCTCACAATGAGAGTCTCCTTCATATCTCTCAGACTTTGTATCAGAATCCGACTCAGATTTATTAGCCAAGTATGCAAGAGGCACACAAGGAATTTACTTCCCAGTTACAACCCGTTCAGGGGAACACAAACAAGACAGCAAACCAAGATGGGGGAGACAGAACGAGAAGCCTGGCGGGTCGCTTTTAGACTCCCCGATATCTTAGATGTGAAAGGAAAACAGTTGGGAAGAGGAGGGGAAAAAAATGGATAGACGGGGAAGGATGCTTTGAGCCAGAGGAAAAAAAACCTCTGCACACAGTAAGTGCGCTCAAGTCTCTCCAGCTGTACCACGGGGGAAGGGGCGGAGTGAATAGGAATCCACGGACATTTAATTCTACTCAATTTTGTCTCTAAAGAGCCAGGAAAAGTTCCAGAAGATGCATACCCCACTTGACATTGCGTAACAGATGTTGATAGCTGCGCTCATTTCCATGATGTGCTAACGCCAAAAGTGTTCACATTGCAATGGACTAGGCCAACTTGGCTCAGTCAACCACAAAAAAAATCTGCCTCCAAACTATAATTGATCATTTTAAAACCATATATGCAAAGCACGTAACGGTTTAACCGTTTCCGTGTTTACGGCGCAGACATTAGCTAGGTGCCGCTAGCTAGCAAAGACATTGTTAGGCCTGCTACGTACATCACGTTTTAAGGATTTTTTTTTCTCGTCTATTGGTTTATGTCCACCTCTGTCATGTACCTTTTGAGGTAATTTGTCCCTGACAAATTTTGTTTGCCAACCGGGTCGTTCCACCGTAAGCGTTGTGTGTTTATTCCCCGTGCTAAATGAATCAATGTACTTTCTACTCCCTTCTCATCTGAATATTCCCCGTGTTTGATCCTTGCCCCATAACTTTTTTTTTTCTCCTTGTAGGGAGCGCACGGATGTGATCTGCTGTGTTATTTTTGTCACCGTCATCTTTGCCTACATCATACTGGGCATTGTGGGTGAGTGTGACACACCGCTGCTGATTACATCACACAACATTTTGTAACCACACACAAATGCACTCTTAGTCACTGAGTGGAGGGGAAAAAAAACAACTACTTCTAAAATAAGTTCATCACTAGCTGAAAGCCCAATGATATGAATCTCGCTCACACAAATACTGCTGATAGCTCGTTTGCTGCTTCGACAAAAAAAATTGTATTTGTTGTTTTTTGTGCCCTTTCTGAGGAGCCAAAAGATGGTACCAAAGCCCCGTCTAAAGCGAACGTAGTACGGTAGTGTCAAGGAAGCACGTTGTCACGATACATCTCAACTTTTCTATCCAAAGAACGACTATTATTTTGTCAGGGTGCGAAAATGAACCGAAAAGTGAGCGATTCCCACAAACCTAGACACCAAAACAAAAACTCCGTAAGGAAAATATTTTTTCACAAAATGCGCACCAACCAAGTATGAACGGAAATCGCTGGTCAAAAATAACCAGGAAAAAACAAACATGAACAAAAAGCACTTGCAAAAGGCGTGGAAATAATTAACCCGAGAGTCCAGTTTACTTGACAATAGAAAAACAAGATCAAACGACTAAACAAAGACTATACTTCGCCACCCCCCTCCGCAAAAAAAAACAAAAACGTGGAACTAGAGAATAAGAACGACTATTGCGAGAGGTCTAGAAAACAAACACTTGATCAAGAGCAGCAACAAGGTCCAATAATCTGACAAAAGTTTGTCAGTCGTCAAATCCACGGCTAATGATCATGAGCGGCATGTGTGCCCACTGAAGGAAAAGCCCTCGTCTGCCACCCCGCTGGAGACGCACAAGAACACGATCGTGACAATTATGACTGCCGCTTCTCGCTGAGCTGAGCATTTTCTACTTTGTCTGCTCCAGTTTTCAAACAATGTTTACAATATTTTTGGCTGAGGCGCTGCATTTGAAGTGCTAGTTCTGATTGTCTGACTCTTTGCGAATGGGGGGAAGATGCAGAAGCACTTGCAGGGAGGGAAAAAAAACGAGCATGTATCATATCAGGTTGGCTTATTCATGTCTTGTGGGAAGTGCGGGGGCGTTGAGAACCCCCCCACCCTCCCCCGCCACACCCCCAGAGAATGGGTTATTCTTTTAATAAACACCACAGCTTTCTTATACGACTCATTCTGCGTTGTGCCCTCATTTACATCCTCGTCTCGAGGTCATTAATTGTTAAAGCATGCATGCAATATACAAAAGCGATGCAATCTTGTGCAATCTCTCAGTTTGCCTTATTGGGATTTGGGGGATGGTTTTTACTGCCATCCTTTTTTTTTTTTTTGCTGCCTTGGCAGGAAGGAGTCATGTCTCTCAATCCTGTCAAAGGGACGGTTTCTATGCATCTCTGTTATTTAAAAGAGCACGAGCCAGGACGAGGCCGCGGCGAACTGAAATAGACGATCCTTTTTCGTCATCTTCCTTCAATGTCAGGCACTTGAAGGCTGTCTTCATATCCAGCATTTTTATGCGCGGCTATCAAGGTGTGGGGAAAAAAAAAGGTCTTCATTGTCATACTAACGTAAATAATATTAAGCAGCAGTCAAGTAGCAATCGCACGGAGGTACGAAGTGGACAAGATGAGGTGCCCGCGAGACTCCTAGAATTCCTCCTTACGTGTACTTATTGAAGTGTCCGGTTTTGCTTCTGACGGTTTCGTCCTTTCAGCCTGGTTACACGGCGACCTCAGGAAAGCCGCCTTTCCAACTGACAGCTACGGGAAGTTCTGCGGAGAGAAGGAAAATATGTGAGTCCTCATCTTTCCATAGTTTGTGAGGCCATGAGCGTAATGGTAACCCGCAAAAATAAAATGTCGGGGTCAGCTTTTTTTTTTTTTTTTTTTGAGGAAATGCTTGTCCCCGTTGCTTTTCGATCTGACCTCTCTCTTTTGCTCACCCCAGAAACAAAACCAAATTGTTCTATACCAACATTATCAGATGTATGAATCCTTTAGTGTGGATTAACCTGCAGTGCCCGACCACCCAGGTAAGATTGCCGCTCTGCACGCCCCACCATCTCCTTCCACTGTATATCTGCATCCGGCTTTTCCTCCAACGCTCGATGATGCAAGATTGATGGGACTGCTTATTAAAACGTGTTACCCCCCACCTCCACCCCTCAGCTCTGTGTCTCCAAGTGTCCTGACAAGTTTATGACACTTTTGAATGCCGTGAAGAACAGCACTGAATGGCTTTATTACAAGCAATTCTGCAAACCAGGAGTAAAGCGGAGCACGGTAGGAGACTTTTTTTTTTTCCTCCTCATAAAATGAGCATCCGTTTGCATATAACCATGTAAACAAAACAAACGCAAAACGTCTCAGGGTATATACACACGGCAGCCACCTAATTAGGTACAGTCAACTTTTGACGACGCATTGTTACGCTAACACTAGCATAGCAACAAAAAGAAGAATTAGCGCTGTGCCAATGTATATGAGCGACATAAGGTCGGCTCGGACGCCAAGCACGCAAGGGGTACCAAAGGGCTGTTTCAAGATGTCAGACCCTACGGCCGTGCGTGGACCAAGGCGTGGGAGTTTTTATGGCGGCTGCAGGACGTGCCAGCGGTAGCTTCTGCCCAGTCATAACATGAACAGCCCGCACGGCCCGGCGCAGGAACAGGAGCCTGCAGCAACAGGAGCCCGCTGTTGCCGAGGAACTGTACTGTAACACAATTACGCATGGGTTCTTCGACGGTGCGCCGCGCCTTGCTAGGTGTCGTGTGAAAGGGGCCTTAAATGGTGTAAATTCCTCACAGTTTCACGCAAATGGCAGCGGGGCTCTGGTCCCTATTCCCTGCCACTAGTGGGGGGATTTACTGTCGTCTCATTTACATCTGTTTGTTTTATTCCCACCCATTAGAGCATTCCAGCCCTCATAAGAAATGAGGACTGCCCATCGATGATCTGGCCAAGCACACCTCGTAAGTTGAAGTACGAGCACACTGGAGCCATTTTTTCACCGTACCCCTTCTGATCCCATGTTTTGTTTTGTTCTTTCCCTTACCCACAGTTCTTAAGCGGTGCTTCCCCACTTTCATGACGAGTAACGGGAACATAACCAACCAGACATTGGTTCACGGCGAGAAAACCATCACCACCGCAGATTTGAAAAATGCCGCCGGGTAAGAGTTGTTTACCCACACATCTTCCCATCTTAGATGAGCGACATCCAAGTGGACAACAACACGCTTTAAAGGGAATACAGTCAAACTTCCAAGTTCAAACACAATCCTTTTTCCACCCCCCAATAATAAATAATGAATGAAGGTTGATCCGGAATTCAATTGTCACCATCGTACAACCAGTACAAGGCAGAGTTTTAAGTAGGGCTGTGTGCGAATTTGTGTTGATTCGAATTGGGATTCTGGTGGGCGTGGAAAAATCATCTGTGAATCAGAATTTTTGGACTCAAATCAGAACGACTCTTTTCATATTGTTTTGGGTATTGTCAAACTTGAACGCATGTGTGACATGCTCATGTCATGAATCAAATCCGATTTTTCATTTGCTGGACTGACATTGGTCCATTTGGGGAAAATTACAAAGAGGAACCATTTGATTCCATACGGAAGTCATCGATTCCATTTAGTCTAGCGGTTAGTATCCAAGCTCCCATATTAAAAAGCTTTCCAGTGACCTTTTAAAGTGTCCGCGTTAACCGTGCTGCTTTGTCACTTGCTTGTCTGGTGAATGACTTTCAGTATTGGCTCGGACAAAACGACAGTTCGCCCACTTGATTCGGTTTTAGCGTGTCGGGAGGGCCTTCGCTAAAGTAGCAACCTAAATTTTCATTGGAACACCTGCTATTGATTTCATCAGACGCCGCATGTGTTGCTGGCATGCTAATAGGAGCTAACTCATCAATAGTGCTTTTGGTACGCTTTGTGCTGCTTCTTTGACAAAAATGGCCTCGCTTCATCTCATAAACAGCGCAGAGAGGGTCAAAACATGTCAATGTGCACCAGAGTGTGAAAATGCTTTTATTTCATCTCGTTCGAATGATCTCTTTTCTCTCCCTCCTCCATGACAGCAACGCGTCCTTTATGCTACACGCTAAAGATATTAGCGCAAAGGTCTTTGAGGATTTTGCCGAATCCTGGAAATGGATCCTGACGTGAGTTTACTTGCTGCACTCAACATTGCTAAATAATTTAGAGCGGCGTTCCTGTTAGCATGACGTTCAATGTTCTGGTTGTACTTATCACAAGCTAATATTCCAATAGTTTGCTAGCCCTACCTAGCAACACATGATTAATGCCTAGCCGTACATCTTAATAAAAAGAAACACGTTAACATCAAGGACGAGACATAACAGAGCATGACGTTCAATGTTCTGGTTGTACTTATCACAAGCTAATATTCCAATAGTTTGCTAGCCCTACCTAGCAACACATGATTAAAGCTAGCCGTACATCTTAATAAAAAGAAACACATTAACATCAAGGACGAGACATAACAGAATCCAAAAAATAACCAGACTCCAAAAAAGTATTTTCTTTGTAGTGTAAATGTGAATCAAGAATTACAAAATAATTTTTTTTGTCATTTTCTTTCCTCATCTAAATAAAAAACAAAAACAAAGCTTGTGCGCAAAATACAAGCTGTGGACTCAACCCAATGAGGGTCTGGTAGCGTTTTGGAGCCACTTTAATTGTGACTTGAAATCATAATTTAGTTTTAGTAATTTAAATGCTGTGAAATACTCACATAAATGGATTGAAAGTGACTTTGCCCTTCTATTGACATCCTTGGTCTTGACGTCGCAGGGGTATGGCCATCACCATGGTGATCAGCCTGATCTTCCTCCTGCTGCTGCGCTTCATTGCCAGCGCGCTGGTGTGGCTCATCATCGGCAGCATCGTCGGCGCCATCGGCTACGGTGAGTTTCGAGCGCCGTTATCCAATCGCTTTGCCAAGTTGGGGGCCTTTGATTCTATCTTTCCATCTCTATCTCAGGTATCGGCCACTGCTATTGGGAGTACCAAAAGCTCATCAGGAAGGAGGGCGCGGACATCACCATCTCTGAGCTGGGCTTCAATCCGGACTTTAATGTCTACCTGGAGCTCAGCCAGACGTGGTTCATTTTCAGTACGCTTTAACGATCCAGTGGGTTCTCTCCGACTTGTAGGGAGGGAGAAAAAACAAAAAATAACAAAACTAAATCGACGTGTGGTTTTGTTTTTAAGTGATTGTGCTATCTGTGATCGAGGGCATCATTCTACTTATCCTGATTTTCCTGAGGGAGCGGCTGCTGATTGCCATTGCGCTGCTGAAGGAAGCGAGCAAGTAGGTACCGGCGATCTTCATTTTGACCCCTTTCACGCTGAACTGGTGCCATTGCTGGTTAGGGCTGGACGATTTCACGAGAAGGTTGAATTGCGATTTTTTTTTTTTTTTTTTTTTCTGACAGATAATTGCGATTTCAATTCAAATCACATTTTTAATTTTTTTTATTATTATTTATTTTCCAAATCAAGCTTCAGGGTGGTATTCAGTATGCACTGTAACATTTACAAAAAAAAAATCAAAGCTTTACATTTGTATCATATGACATCAAGCAGATCGAAGCGGGTGGACGGACATGTTTTGACTAATGTCACTAGTCGCCATTTTGATTTTTCTGTCAGCCAAAGAGGGAAAAAAATGCATTAAAATCCAAGGGTTTTTTGTGGCAAAAATAAAAGATTGTAAGGGCACCTGCTCAGTGTGAAAGGTTTATTCATCTTTATGCCTCAAACAAGACGTTCTAACTTATTATTGGTGTTTGTTTGTTTTTTAGGGCCGTCAGCTACGTGATGACCGCTCTTATCTACCCCATCTTCACCTTCTTTCTGTTGTGCCTCTGCATCGGTTATGGAGCCGTCGTCGCAATGTATCCTTGTAAACGCCGCTGTCCGGCGGTGCAGTATAAATGCAAATGGAGTGAAAGTATTAGCCCCTCCCCCATTGAACTTATTGACCTCTTGCCACCTTACGAGGGTCAAACAAAAAGATACAAAATTGAATTTTGGGGGAAAGAATAAACACCCAGTGGGACACAATCGGCAAGAACCGGAGGCCGCCCATCTCATGGCATGGCTCGTCCCTCTCCTCCGTGACTAATGTGGGTTTACTGTACTTCGACTTTCAAAGTATCAATGCTCAAATTCCAAATTAGCGTGTGCCTTAACTTGTTTGAACGTCAGGTGTTTAGCGACGTCCGGCGTCGCCATCTACACCATTACACCTACAAATGCTAAATGTCAATTAGGCAACAACACCATATGCGATCCAAAGGTGATCTTCACATTTTCCTCGGTTCCTCTCGGAACGCCGATCCGAAAGTTTTCAACAACGCGCTGGCGATGTCACCTTTCAGACGTTCAATGCAAGCAACCTGACGGGAGATTGCGCAAAGTCGCGCTGCTTCTTCAACTCCTACGGCCACGAGGACTTCTACCACAGCTACATCTTGCTCCTCCAAGTGTTCAACGTGTTCGCCTTCCTGTGGTTGGTCAACTTTGTCATCGCGCTCGGCCAGTGTACCCTCGCTGGAGCCTTTGCCTCCTACTACTGGGCCCTGAGGAAGCCCAAAGACATCCCCGCCTTCCCGCTCCTTGCGTCTTTCAACAGAGCCATACGGTAGGTGGCCCGATGGACACGCGCGCGCACACACACGCACACACACACACACACACACATACACACACACACACACAGCTGCGGTGGGTATTAAAACTCCAAACTTTATCTTCCCAGAGGATAAAGAATACATGCCGCCCCGCCTACTTAGTGGCACCCCTGGTTAACCCTTTTGAGGGACAGCAATTACTACAGTGGACAGGTTATCAGGTTACAGGGTCCATGAAAGGGTTAAGATTTGTCCTTTAGCTTCTAATCAATTCTGTTTTTTTCTAAACGATATATGACCAAAAAAAGAAAAAAAAGAGGAAAATTAATTCACTGGGGGCGAAAAAGATCGACATGGGTGTTATCACAAGGTGTCATTTTTATTCTATTTTTCTTGCCGTGTTAAATTTAGCGTGACAGTGGTTTTTTTTTTCTGCCTAAAAAAATAATCAATAAAAAGCTTCCCAACAAATTTAGCAAGCAGTGGTATAAAACAGTCCAAAGTCTCTGTTGAAAATTTGTTCACCATGCCAACCCCTGCTCCTCTCCGTCTCAGTTTCCACATAGGCTCCCTGGCCCTCGGTGCGCTCATCCTCTCCGTGGTGCAAATGATCCGCATCGGTTTGGAATACCTGGATCAAAAACTCAAGGGTAAAGCTCGAAACACTTCCCAAAAAGACATTCCAACCTTGCCCGTTGACTTTGTTGACGACAAAACGGGACGTGTGGCTTGTGTCGTTCTTAGGTTCCCAGACTGCGTTTGCTCGCTTCGTGATGTCCTGCCTCAAATGTTGTTTCTGGTGCTTGGAACGTTTCATCAAGTTCCTCAACAGAAATGCGTACATCATGGTGAGTGACAGCGCCATTTTTAAAAATTGATTTTTCCCCCAACTCTGTGCGTCGTTTAAATCGTACCGTCCATCGTGCGCGACCCACAGCCTGTCTTCTCAACAGATAGCAATACACGGAAAGAGCTTTTGCACGTCCTCCAAGGATGCTTTCTTCCTCCTGATGAGGAACATTCTTCGGTAAGCTTTTTCTTTCTTACGGCCGAATTTCACTCAGTCAAGCATTGACCTCCGCCAAGGAATAAATCTTATATAACGCAAGGTTTGGCTGACACTTTGTAGTTAGTTTGCAAGCTTCCTGATTTTCGGCCAGGCGGTTTGATGAACTTTACAGTGACCGAAAATTGGGAAATGCTTTTCTGTATCCGCACCTTCATTCGGATCCTCACCAAATTCGTCACATATTTTTCCGGAGATTATTTCAGTTGCCCCCTTTCCTGAGTTTCGAAAAGCCCTCGCAAAGATTCACAGGAACGAAAGATTGGTCTAGGTTGCATCAGCCGGGAATCAAACCCAGTCCTCCCGCGTGGCGGGCGAGAATCCGACTGTTGGATCACCAATACTGACATGAGTCGGGGGTAGCGGTCATCAGTTTGTTCCTTTCCAAAGTAGAATGACATTCGAGGTTGTTTGCCTGCTTGTAGGGTGGCCGTCCTGGACAAGGTAACGGACTTTTTGCTCTTCCTGGGAAAACTTCTCATCGCAGGAACCGTTGGTGAGTCCGCCGGCAAGCCAACATCAAGCACTTTTGATTTGGTTCCCAATAACCTGTTTGTCTTGTGGACTTGTGCTCGCTGTTTTTCCCGCAAGTTGAACATTCGTTTGAAATTGTTTTTCCCCCTCTGATTTGATGTGCACCAGGTGCGCTTGCATTTTTCTTCTTCACCCGGAAAATACCCGTCATAAAAGGGGAGGCGCCAACTCTAAACTACTACTGGGTCCCTCTGGTGGTAAGGAATGTTTTCATATTAGGTGGAGAGTAAATCCCCGCTCTTATCATTTCAAAATTCATTTTACAACCTTGCCCTAAAAAAAAAAAAAAAAAAAAAAAAAAAAAGAATGGCTTCCAGAAATTCTTGTCCATTTTTAAAAAATTATGCTATAACTTATATGTAATATTGTTGACGTAATTATGTTTGAAATTACATTTTGTAGTCTAAATCTACTTTGGCTTGGGATAAAAATACACACACACACACACACACACACACGCACACACACACAAAATCAAGATGCACGCTTTTTGTTAGTGATGATATATATGGCATAAAAAAATGAATGGCTGGATGATTTTTCTAATAACTTTATCTTCATTTATGTCCTGAATGCTTTATTTTTTTTTTTACTTCATCATTATTATTATTCATTATTTTTATCCCTTGTTCTTCCAGATGGTGATCTTGTTATCCTACTTAGTCGCGCATGGCTTTTTCAGCGTCTACTCCATATGCGTGGACACACTCTTCCTGTGCTTTTGTAAGTAGCCTTATTCTCCCCGACACGCCGCGACGCCGACTTTTAAAGACAGATTTCACATCACATCACATAGCAGATGACATGTTGACTTGGTGAGTGACAGCGCCATTTTTAAAAATTGATTTTTCCCCCAACTCTGTGCGTCGTTTAAATCGTACCGTCCATCGTGCGCGACCCACAGCCTGTCTTCTCAACAGATAGCAATACACGGAAAGAGCTTTTGCACGTCCTCCAAGGATGCTTTCTTCCTCCTGATGAGGAACATTCTTCGGTAAGCTTTTTCTTTCTTACGGCCGAATTTCACTCAGTCAAGCATTGACCTCCGCCAAGGAATAAATCTTATATAACGCAAGGTTTGGCTGACACTTTGTAGTTAGTTTGCAAGCTTCCTGATTTTCGGCCAGGCGGTTTGATGAACTTTACAGTGACCGAAAATTGGGAAATGCTTTTCTGTATCCGCACCTTCATTCGGATCCTCACCAAATTCGTCACATATTTTTCCGGAGATTATTTCAGTTGCCCCCTTTCCTGAGTTTCGAAAAGCCCTCGCAAAGATTCACAGGAACGAAAGATTGGTCTAGGTTGCATCAGCCGGGAATCAAACCCAGTCCTCCCGCGTGGCGGGCGAGAATCCGACTGTTGGATCACCAATACTGACATGAGTCGGGGGTAGCGGTCATCAGTTTGTTCCTTTCCAAAGTAGAATGACATTCGAGGTTGTTTGCCTGCTTGTAGGGTGGCCGTCCTGGACAAGGAAACGGACTTTTTGCTCTTCC